GAGGAAGGGAGATTGGGGTTAGGGAATTTGATTAAAAAAAATAAAGCATTGCTGGGGAAGTGGCTGTGGAGGTGGCCAGTGGAGAGAGACTTTAGCATGAGGTGGTGTGTAGTATTCATGGTCGCTCAAAAAATGGATGGGATGCTAGAGTATCACGGCTGGCAACCTTGGCAACACCTTGGAAAGCTATTCATGGCATTCTTCCTCCACTTCTCAGTTTTATCAGGTATGATGTTTGAAATGGTAACTCAGTCCTATTTTGGGAGGATACTTGGGTTGGAGAGGCTCCATTGAAGGACCTTTTCCCTTCTTTGTTCTCTGTTTCAAGGTATAAAAAGCATTTTTTGTCAAAGTATTTTTCCATGGGTTTCGTAGTGGTTTAAGGGAAGAGGAAATTGTGTCTCTCACAAATCTGGTATTGATACAGTATGTTTGGACACCCCAGTGGAACGGATCCTTTTCATGCGCTTCTTTTTTTAAATCCATTACTCAGTCTACCCCCAACCAGCCTTTCCCTTTTAAGGAGATTTGGTGCAGGCCTGCTCCCCCTAAGGTTATGGCTTTTTGCTGGGAAGTGTATTATGGGAAAATAAACACCTTTGACATTTTACAAAAGAGAAGACCTTTTCTCTGTCTCTCACCTTCCTGGTGTATTCTTTGCAGGTCACATTGGTGAGGGCTGTAACCATATACTAATATCTTGTTCATTTACTGCAGAGTTGTGGGAGTGGCTCTTCTCATTGTTTGGGTGCAGGTTCGTTAGGCCAGCAGATGCAAGTTTGATTTTTGATCCTGCTTTCTTCCCTTGGTGGAACTGAAGAGGAAGAATTATGTGGAGGTGTGCAAGAGCAGCGCTGATCTGGTCCGTGTGGGAAGAAAGGAATACCAGAATTTTCCAAGAGGAGAGAAGCCTAGAAGAGATGAAGGACTGCATTCTAAATAGGGTGATCTTGTGGCTAAAATTGCTGGACCTATTCCATCAATTCTCATTTAATGATGTTTAGAGGAATTGGTTAGTAGTGGCTAATTGTTCATCCATAAAGACTAAAGTGAGTATGGCTTGGGAACCCCCTCTTGAAAGATTCTTGAAGCTGAATTTCGACAGAAGTAGTCTTGGTAATCCTGGTCCGTCAAGGGTGGGAGGGGTATTGAGGAATTAGAGTGGGAATGTGGTTCTTATTTTCTCAGGACCCATAGGAGTTGGAAACTCTACTAGGGCGGAACTTGCTGCCGCTATCCAGGGAGTACAGTTAGCAATGCTGATAGGTGTGGAACAGTTGATAATAGGAGGAGACTCCAAGGTGGTAGTGGGCTGGCTACAAAATCCAGAATCTATAGTGTAGTGTTTTAAGAATGAAATTAAAAAATTCAACTGCCTAACAAGAAGCTTGACAGTGAGAATACAATGGGTGGGGAGATCAGCAAACTCTATGGCTGATGGTCTTGCAAAGCAAGGGGTAAATAGGGAAAGTTTATATTGGGCTCAACTGTAGACTGAATCTGTTTTCTATCTTTTGACTTTCTTCCTACTATTAGGAGAGGACATAGCTCGTGCCTCTCCACGGGAAGCTTGTAACTGCACTAGTTTTTATTAATGAAATTTATCCTTATTATTTATAAAAAAATATATGTATATTTTGCAAAACCAAATCACAAACGTAGTTGAAATCCACTGTCGGCAGTTTAGGTTTCCATTAGAGAGAGTGTAAGCCCTATCATTCACTTTGTCCGTCAAAGGGGTCGATCCTATCACTATGATCACCCACTTAGGTGAATTCTCAGACTACCCCAACATACCTTGGTTTTGACCCTTGATGGATCTCACTGATTGGCATATGAAAAGCAACCCAATCCAATAGCTAGTATAGTACCATAATCAAGTCTAGGGGTTATGTGTAACTTTCTAGTTTTTCCCATCAATCTCCAAGGTCCAGGGCATAACTAGAAAATGGTCCGGGTTCAATGTTTCATCCAAACACACATTTTATGTGCTTTAGGTCTAACCCTAGCAGCTGAGACAAGCTGCCCCGATTTCTTTGGTAGAACATCAGTGTTAGCCTTGGCAAGATAAACTCCCCAAGTCTATCCAACGGCGGAGAACATTTCCAACTAACACGAGTCCCATAAGTGTCTAGTTTAATGTGTAATTACACAGAAACATACGAATACCAACATGAAACAATAATGTACTTTTATTCATTTACAATAAATATATTTGTACATCAATCTGATTAGAGATAAAGGTATACACTGTTTAATAGCTCCCACTTGCACTTAGGTCCAATCGAGTACATGCCTTAATCCCATAGTATCCCAACACTAGCTGAATAGCCAAACACCTTTTCCTTAAGATTAAACATGGGCTACAACAGTAAAACAAGGGAAAAGATGGTGTTGGCGGCAAAATAGGAGAAGAGAAAATTTCCCAAAAAAGTTTTAGGGCTCCAAAAAATCTGAGACTACTTCCTACAATCTCAAAATTTTACCATGATTCAAACGCAAGTGGATTTAACAGCAACCAACCCACCATGCATGTAAGCCCTAAACTCTAGATCTGTATTTTTTGCCAATTTTCATTTGAAAAATCCAAGAAAAATGTAAAACAACTTCAAACCTCCATGAAATGTATATCAAAATTCCTCTAAAAACGGGGTGCACCAATGGGCATCAAAACTGCAGATGGACGCCACCGACTGTATGGGCTGCTGACATCAACCGGTGGTGTGCTGACATCAGCAGGTTCGTCTGTGAGTCACGACCAGCGGCTGATGCTTTCCTTGGTCTTCCGATGCTCTAGAAGTGTTACTGTTTACACCCTGAAATGTTTTACTTAACATATTGAAGAAAATTATAAATGGGCCCTTGAATAGGCTCCCAAATGCAAAAAACCTGAAAGGACACAAATGCCCTTACACTCTCAACAGTATTCAACAGTGGCATCCCCCTCATCAGTAGACTATGCATTGTTAAACATATCTCCAAGGTGTCAGTTCACACAAGAAAAGCTACTTTGGAGGGTACTGATCTTTTTTTTTTTGTGTGTGTGAGAAAACTGATTTCATTAAACAAGAAGAGGGGTACACAAGAGGGTGTACAAAGAGAAGATGAAAGAAAAACAGGGATCAGACCCCTAAGAACACAGTACAGAACTTCTAAAAGAGCACCTAATTTTTCTAACCCATCTGCAAGAGCATTGTGTTCCCTTGGGATCCAGTGCAGGTTTGCATTTGAAGCTGCCAATAAATCCCTTTCTTCTGCCAGAAAGTGACTGATTCTCCATGGTCCAGCCTCCTGTCTTCCTAACCACTTTATGGTTTTAGCTGAATCTCCTTCTATGGATAAGTTCTGAATGCCTAGTCAGTTGATTAGTTGGATTCCCGTAAGTGCAGCCATCACTTCTGCGTTAGTAGAGTCGGCTGTACCTATCGGTCCATTGTACTCCCAGCAAATGCTTCCATTTTCATCCCTTAGTACTCCTCCAGCTCCGGGGTTACCTGAAGCACTTCCATCGAAGCTTAGGGTTCATGTTTCTTCCGCCCTAGGGCGAGTCCCCCTCTAGATGGTGGGGGGAGGAGAAAAGGAAGAGGTCATCATCCCTGTTCAGGTCATTTATGGAGACTCCTTAAAATTTGTCTGAACTGGTTGCCCACTGATTACAGATGTAGGTGATGTGTGAGATCAAATCAGTCCTTGATCTTGCCTTGTTCTCAAATAAGTGGTTGTTCCTTTCTTCCCAAACTCCCCAAAGCACAGCATGCAAAATTATTTTCCAAAACACCTTGCCTCTTTTGCTCAATCCTTTGCCTTGCCACCGGTGAAGCAGGTCCTGAGGGTGATTTGGAGCAACCCAGGTAGCTGAAGGAAATGACACCAAATATCTTTGGTTCCCTGGCAGTGGATGAAAAGGTGATCAGTTGTTTCCCCTTCTCTCAGACAAAGGATGCAGACATGGGGGGAAATAGCTAGTCTGCCAAGGTTCTTTTGTGACAGGTCACAAGTGTTTATTCTTGTGCAGGCAGGCTTCCCAAATGAAAAAGCACACTCTGGAGGGAACATAGTTGCACCAGACCTTCTTGAAAGGAAAATTGCAGCTCTGCTCTTCTGTGACCAGAACCTTCAAGAAAGATTTGGAAGAGAACTCACCTATAGGGTGGGGTTTCCAGACCGGGAATTTAGTGAGTTAGGAGAGATGTAGACTTCTCTGTGAGAGAGGAGGAGCTCAGTTAATTCACTGTTCTCCGAATCCCTTAAAGGTCTTCTAAGGTTCAAGTTAATGTTGCTTTCAGTGGGGAAAAAGGGGAGGCACTGGGAAATGGTAGCTTCTTTGTTAAGAGTGAGGTTAAAAAGTCTAGGGTAGGAGTCTGCTAAAGTAGAGTTGCCCCACCACAGATCATTCCAAGTAGGGAGGATTCTTCTCTTTCAGGTGGCCAATTTCTAGACCTCCAGCCTCCTTAGGTTTACAGGTCTGCACCCAGCTCACTGGATGATTTCTTTTCTCCCCTACACCTTCCCAAAGGAAGTCTCTTCTCTTTGAAGCTTCTCAATTTGGGTTCTGATTTTGGCAGGAATCTGGAACACTAGGAGGAAGTAGATGGGCAGGTTTGCAAGAGAAGTCTTAATGAGTGTAAGTCTCCCCCCATTTGATAGGTAACATCGTTTCCAAGTGGCTAGCTTCTTTTCACACTTTTTCAACACTGGCTCCCAGAAACTTGGACTTTTAGGGTCCCACTCAAAGGCAAGTCTAGGAAAATCAGTCACCTGCTGAAAACAGAACCACTTAACAAGTGGTTGGTCACCACACCACTTGTCCATCCAAAGCTAACCCTTGAACCTGTGCCAATTTTGTAACGAATCCCTTTTACAAGTACAGAGCAATGCTTTTTGAGAATGATGTTTATTTTTCTTTAAATCTTTCAAAGTGTTTATTATTTTTATGTCTTGAGAAACATATATTGACAAACATTACTTAGTTGATCTCTGGATGTACTTCCTGTTTGCAGCTTCGCCCAAATTTTTGTGATGCATGGTCAAACTTGGCTAGTGCATACATGCGGAAAGGAAGGCTCAATGAAGCAGCTCAGTGTTGTCGCCAGGCTCTTGCATTGAATCCACACTTGGTAGAGCCTTACATCATTTTAATGTTTTCAGTATTTATTTCATTGTGCATGATTTGTGCTGACAATGAGCTTTTTAACTTGCATAGGTTGATGCACATAGCAATCTTGGAAATTTGATGAAAGTACAAGGTTTAGTCAAAGAGGTAAGCTGCAAAAAACTAGGGATGTTGTTTCCCTTCTGGATTTCTTCCATTCTTTCCTTTTATGCTTTTCTCCTCATTTTTTTTGTGGGAATGGTGGTGGATCGGAAGCTGTATATTGGCATTATTAGTTTAGGCATTTTCTAGTTAGCTTTCTTGTTTTTTGATCAATATTTTCTAGTTAGCTTTCTTTGTCATGGTATTAGTTTGTCCAGTAGATGTTCTCTTTCATGTGTTAAAATATTGTAAATAAGCTACATTCTCAAGTTATTCTCTATGTTATCTATTTGGTCAACATAATCTAGAGATTGGTGTTAGAACTATAGAATTTGAAAAATGCTTCTTGGAGAGTTTCCCGAAAACCCTAGCTAACTAGAGAGCCTTCTGATTACTTGGTCTGGACGTGGTGCTTGGTGATAGAATAGAAGCATTCTAACTATCTTTGAGATTGGTCCAAGTTGGAAATGTTTCTGAAGCCTTTGATAGGGTTCGGTGAAAACCCTAATTTGATTATTTAAAGAGCAGTTTTTGACTTAGGACAGTAAGCCTTGAGTAGTAACACCTTATTTTGATTTTCGTTTATCTCTGTTTGGACAATGGAGCGAGCTGGAGGTGAGATGAAACTCTCCACCGACTCCAGGTTTGGTCCAAGAAGGTCTGTGGAGACTCTATTAGGGGAAGTAACCTTAGTAAAGTTGGATGGAACCAATGTTTTAGCTTGGTCCCAGTCTATAAAGGTTCATGTTTGCAGTAGAAGGAAATGGGGATACATCATTGGGACCAAGGAGAAACCTATAGAGGATGACCCTACTTATGAGAGGTGGATGCAGGAGAACTATAATGTAGTAGGTTGGCTAGTGAATTTCATGCAATTAAAACTAAAAAATCATTACTTTTTGTGTGAAAACTAAGAATTTAAGACTCTAACATGGACTTGTTTGGGCTTGCCTTGAGGGGCGTGGCACAAAGATGGCTCATAGAATTAGGAATGTAATATGTCACATTAGCTACTTGAAGTAGCATAATTTAGAAAAAAAGAGATTGTGGGTTTTATATGCTTGAAAATGTTTTATATGTTTGATTTCATTTTTAAATTCTCATTTTAATATGCTTTACATATTATGTTTATGTATTTTAATTTTAGATAATAGGTTTTTTAAAACATTTATTTTAAAATTTAAGTTTATATTTTTATTAATATTGTGTTTTTATAATTTTTTTATTTTTTTGCATTTTTTGAATTTTTTGGCATTTTTTTTTAATTTTTCGACATTTTTTTTTCTTAGCTTTTTTTTTTTTTAATTGTACGCCTTGCCTAAAAAAGGCATGCGCCTCGCCTTTCGCCTTGTGCCTTTCGCTTTTAAAACATTGAGATGGACAAAACAAACACATCCAAAGACACAAAGTATGGATAGGTTTGGTGGGCGATGAAATGAGGATTGATGGAGAGAAGAATTTCCAAGGATAGGTATAGGAAGAATATTGATGATGTGAATAGTAGTGCGGGTCACCTCCACCCAGAAGGTAAGGGGAGCATGAGAGTCTATTATCAAGGATCTCACCATACTAGCAATGTGACGATTCTTGCGCTCTGATACTCCATTTTGTTGAGGAGTATCGGGACAAGATCTCTAGGACTGAATACTCTCCCCTTGAATCTGACCTCAAAATACTTATAGTACTTTTAATTTGGGTCCTTACCATAGCATGAAAATTCTTAAACATGGATAAAAGTTCTGATTTCTTTTGAAAGAAATAAACCCATGTGTAACAAGTAAAGTCATCAATGAATAACACAAAAATACTTATAACCCAAGCGTGAAACAATTGGAGACGACCACGCATCACTATGAATAAGGTAAAAAGGTGTAGATGCATGTTTAGTAGAAGATGGAAAAGGTCAAACATGACTTTTACTATAGTAGCAAGTTAAACAAGATTTATCAACGTTTTTAACTAAAGAAGTAGTCATAGGCAAACAACTAGAAGAAAATAAGTAATCCAAATTTTTAGTATGAGTGTGATCCAAACGTTTGTGCCATAGGTGCCACACATTATTACAGGAGGAAATAGAAGAACCGGGGGTAATAGATAGCAAACAAGAGTATGGTGAAGCTCTCTTCTTCTCGAATTCCAAAGCAAATAGCCTCCCAAGCCTACGCCCCTTCCCCTTCAGCTCCTTAGTGTGCTGATCCTGAATAAAACAACCATCACGAGTAAATAAGACATTATTACCATCATCAACAAGTTGCCCAATAGAGATTAGGCTAGTAATCAATTTAGGCACAAAGAAGGTTTTGGGAAGATGTAAGGGTTTAGACTCATAAGTGGACAAAAATAAATCATCACAACCACATACAGGTAGAGAATCACCATTAGCAATAATAATATGGTTGTCAAAGGTGCAAGGTTTAGGAGACTGACCAAAGGAGGCCCCAATTATGTGATTTGAGGCCCCGGAATCAATAATCCACATGTGAGAAGGAGATGAACACAAGTAAGCAAACTTACCAGCCAGTCCAAAAGCAGAAAAAGCAGAGGAAATAGATGAAGACATGAGCTCACAAATCTTTTCTTCAGTCAGGTTTCCCTATGCATCTAGCTTGTGAGCTGATGATGAGGCAGTAGTATCAGTGGATACAGGTTCAGCCGAGGCCTGATATGCCTTATGTTGTCCTTTCTTGGGAGGCCTAGTTGGATATTCCACTATAATGTGTCCCTGCTGTTTGCAGTAGGTACAAAAGTTTTTCTTCTTATAGTGGGATGCCATATGACCATATTCTTTGCATTCATAACACTGCATCTTCGAGAAGTCTTTCTTACTTTTCTGTTTGGTAGCCAAAAACACTGTATCAATCCCATGTTCCTTCTTCCAATCTAGTGCTGACAAGGTAAGAAGACGAGTTTCCTCCCTTAACAACTCTCTAAGAATTGTGTCAAGATTAGGCACTGGTTCTCTACTGAGTATACTGGAGCATAAAGTCTCATAATCAGGTTTGAGGTGCATCAAAAAGTGCATGGTCTTTCTCTTGTTGAGGTGTTTCTTCATAGTCTTCACACAACAGTCTGTAGACAGATCCCCAAAGTGAGCCAGTTCATATTCAGTCCAAAGATTCACAAATTCTTGAGTCTGCTTCTCCCCTTGAACATAGGGGAAGATATCAATTTCAATTTGATATTGCCTAGACATATTCGATTGCTGGTATACCTTTTCAAGGTATTCGAACATGTCATGGGCTGATTTGAGACCTTTCATCGGAATACTGACATCCATCGAGATAGACCCAAGTATCCATGAAGTAACCTGAGCATTCTCAGTTCTCCATTGTTTCAGCCCTTTGACATCACTGGTGTCAGGCATGGAAGTGGAACCATCAATATAACCCCACATACCTTTCCCTTAAACAAAATACTGAAAGTGAAACTTCCAGAGAGCATAATTGCTTCCATCGAACTTGACAGAAATAATTTCATTCTTTTCTAGAGCCATGACGAAAAGAAGCCAACGTAAAAACTGATCAAATCAAGCAAGATGAGTAGTAATCAATCTAAGAGAGTCAAAAACTGAGAATAGAAATCTCTTACAGTCACTAGAGGTTGTCCAAGATCCAGCAAAAGGAGAAAACTGGATTCACAGTCCTGAAAAGGAAAGTCTGGATGTAGCCGCCCAGAAGAGATGTATAGATCTCTCTCAAAACTTCTTGGATCTCAATGAAAAATTCAGAATATGATGAGAGGGCCTAGGCGACATTTCCTTTCAAATCGTGCTGCAAACTGATGTCATATGAGAGAGATCTAATGAAATCTCTCTTACTAGGTGTGCAAAACACAGAGAAATAGTCTTTGGAGAGATCAAAACAGTCCAGAACCAATCGGCAATGATTATAATTCTCAAACTGATCAAGAAGGAAGAGAAAAGGATCAAAGAGCAGCCTGCTCTAATACCATGTCAATTTGTGAGAAGGTGAAAGAGCAAGAAGAGAGACACAGGTTCAGATCTGTTAGGGTTGATCAATCTGATTGAACCAACCCAGAAAAGAAGTATTTATATTAATCTTAAGTGAATGGACAAGATTGTCCTTACAAAGAAAATAAAAGAGCTGTACACTAATGTACACGCCTATTACAGTACAAGAAAGAATAATAAAGTGCAGTTAGAATTACAAAACTACTCTTCATTTCTTCTACAATTATAAAATAGTAACTGATCTACTACAACCTGCACTAACACTCCCACTTAAGCTGATCCATATATATTATGAGCCCATTTGAGAGGGCTTCATCTTTGATTCAGCTGTGTTTGACTGAGCCGCTTTGAAGAAGCTACTAAAACTAGCTTCACTGGAAAATTGATTTCTTACTCAATTAAAGCGTACTTTGGCTTTCTGGGTTTTTCACCTAACTTCTAGGCTTTCTGCATGAGGCCACATTGGAAAGCCAGAAGCAGCTGTCAGAAAGCCCTCCCAAATGGGCACTACATATATCCAACTTGGTAGCAATAAAATCAATACGAGGCCTACTCGGTTCCTGTGTGAATAAGTTTGCAAGTTGATTCTCTGACTCAATAAACTGGTATCTACACCATTGCTTTACACCTTTTCATGGACAATGTTTGTTAAGATATTGATCAAACTCAACAGGTTGGATGGGATGAATCAACAGCTGGGAATGCCCAAGCCGGGTTTCAATTTGGGATATTGAGCCTGTTGCAACTCCATTCTACATTTGCCCACCTTCATTTTTCAGGCCAAAATTCCCTACACAATTAGGGATGCCAGGTACACTATGTCAGTAACATGCAGAATATTATGTTAGTGTATCAACTAGATGTTTCTATATAGCTGAAGACTACCTTTCATGCATTGGGAGGAAAGTACTTAGGCTTAGCAGAGCTTGCCTTAGTGCGATGGAGAGTTCCATAACGGGCTTTTCTTATCAGATTGTTCAGAGTCCCTTTCAATCTTTGGATTGGAGGTGTCTTCATAGCTTGTGATACCTCAAAGCTTTGTTCTGCAAAGATTTTTGTTGCCAGAATGAAGCCGAGGGAGGTTCCTTGAGATGTCGATATCTTCTTGAATGGTGTTTGGATCATGACGGAACATGAAGTGTTGCTCTGGGGGAAGGTTGAGAGGTTGAAGACGAAGCTGATGTGGCAGGATGGAGGCCACATGGTAGCAAAGGAATGGAAGAGGGTCTATTGAAAGATGAGTTCAGCTTGGAAGAAGAAAGGACAGGAGGAAAAAGGAATAATAATTACTTTTTGGTAAGGGTAGATAATTATAATTGGTTTTGAAAGAGTGGAGAGTAAGCTCGAGAAACGAATGGCTATTGAAATTTCAAACTTGGGTGACATGATAGACCTGATCGGGTTAGGAAATAAAACAATAAAGAGACTGGGTCAGGTATCAGGGGTGATTGCTTCGAACTAGGCGGAACTAAGAGGGATTTTAGCAACTCGTCAAATTATACCAATAAGCCTACTTTTGAAGGTGACTATTAAACAACATAAAATAGCTCTTATACCATGTCAATTAACATAAAATAGAATAGCAACTCAAGGAGGAAACAAGAAGAATAAATAGAGAAACACCAAGGTTTAATGTGGTTCGGATTGGTAGCCTACATCCACAAGAGAAGAGGAAGCATATCCACTATGAGGACAAGAGATACAACCACTTGCTTAAATAAGAGAAATACATTTAAGTCCCCATAACTTATCAATATTACAAATACAACCAAATACAATATATCTCTCAATAGTGACATTCGAGAGTTTAATGGACCCAAATTTATTGACAATATATTAGCCAATAGACTGATGTCATCTTTAGAAGTTGTTGAGCCAGAAGATTCTTATGCGGAGCCTATTCCATCCTTATCATTTAATTTATTGGGACCACAAAACATATTAAGCAAGAGAAGGCTCAAACTGGCCTGAATTGAGGGGGAACCGGTCACTTGTCTTGGACAAGCTACTAAAGCCAGTTCAGGTGATTATTTACATATTCGCGTGACTAATGTGTCGTGGCCTTCATTTGGATCATCAGGAGGAAATAATTCCTCCCTTTCAACACGGTAAGAATCTCTACAAGGTCTTGAGGGTGGCAAGTTGTTTTGTGGTGCAAGCTCTCCGTCGGTTGTTGCAGTTCAGGGATCTTGCCTGAAGCACTCGTCTCACCCGTTAGGAAAGTTGAGAGCTGCTCAGGATTTCAAAGCCAATTTGCATATTGGCAGGAAGCAAAATCGTTTCAGGAACAGGAAAGATGGCAAGAAGAAGCTTTTAGGGCCTATCAAACCAATTTTGAAAACATATGGAGTAACAAAGAGGGTCTCGACTGAGGCTAGAAAAAGAAAGGAAGAGAGTTGGATTTGGGTAATCGCAAAGTTTGACAAATGTGGCAAGAAGAGGATCATTGGTGGTTTAGGAACAATGCTTGATGGCTATTCATGTCCCGTGATTGGTGACGCTATCTTTGGTTAACCGGGGGTTTGATGGGATTTGTGTATCCCTAGAGCCTGTGGGTATAAGTATGACACTTTTAGAGACCAGATGTGATTCTGGAAATCCAGTTTTGCTATCTTTGGAGGGTGTACTCTGTTGAACAGTGAGGCTAGAAGAGGGAGGAGAAGGTTTGGGAAAGGAGTGTTAGTGCTGATGTTGAGCCGGAGATTGAAGGCAAGGTTGGGGAAAAGGAAGTTTTAGGTGTTGATGAGTTCACCGAGGAGGTTGAGGTTGGAAGGCTGGGTGTCGATTTGGGTTGAAGGAGCAAACTTGAAGAAAAGGAGGTGGATCAGATTAATGGGGTAATCAGCAAGAAACCGTGCAATTTGAGATCGCACAATATTGTTCATGTGACAAAGATCTTTTCAAGGCTAAATCTTGGCTTGGTAGGGGAGGACCTACAAAAAAGTATAAATGGGTGTATAGAAGAAAAAGAGTGAGAGGCAATGAGACTCCTGACTCTGATCATGGGGGTTAATGGTGCAAGAACAGTCTCCAACTCCACTTACGTTGAAGAAACAACAGGAAAACAAGGTGAGTGATGACGTTTCTGATTTAGTGTGATCCGGCTGCCGCAGAATAATGATGTAGTCAAAGAAGACTCAAGTGGTGTGGCTATACAGAAATTAGTTGATAGAGAGGTTACGATTGGGAAAAGCTTGGGCCTGTTTTTTGGGGTGGTGAGGAATTTTCTAGGAAGGCTTTTGAAGAATTTAAAAGAAGAGAAAAGGAAGAGAAAGAAAAAAATAAAGCTCATCTGCAATGGAGAGGGGTATGGGACGAGGATTTCTCAACCCAAGAGGATACGCTCACAGATAAAGACTGATGCGGGCTTCAGGAAAGGTATCTTTGCTTTTGTTTAGTGCCGGTTGGTGGTCCTTGTTTTATGGGGATGTGTTGGATCTGTTTCTTCAATTTTCTTTCGGATGATTGGGTAATTTTCATCTTTGTAAGCTGCAGTTATCTTGGGCCTTTTTTGGTTTCCTGAGATTTCTCTCATGTTTTTGGGGATATCTTATCACCTTCTTCTTTACTTTTCTTTTTTATCTTAATGAAAATTTCTCTTTATCCTTCAAAAAAAAAACGTATGATAAAACAAACACAACCACAAATATGCAGTGGCAGAGGAAATAGAGGGGTATCAAGGAACAGAGTGGAATGAGGTGTCTTACCATCAAAGTCGAAGAGTTTAGATGATTACTTAGGTAAGAGGCTGTAAGGACAACATTACTCCAATAGGACTTTGGATGATCACATAAACCTTTCCTTCTGGATCAACATTTTTTCATCCTCTTTTCTTATTATTTGGAATGCAGTGCTTGGGAGCTATACTTAAATAGATGTATGTTCATGTAGCAGCTAACAAGGATTATGTGCATCTGTTTAAGGTGAGAATGTGGTTTTTGACAGTGAGTCCATAAACCTTGAAATGTTTGATATTTTGGAATTATTGGCATGCACCTGGAATGTGGATATGAAACAGTGCCTGGCATGGTCAATTTTCAGAAATAGGAATGCTGTTCTTATAGTGTTGGGATTCACTTGCTTAGAGATTTTCTTTCTGCAATTGATCTTGATCCACCTTGAGTTTCTCTTTTGTCATATTTGTTATGGATGATTATTTTTTCTTGCTTTCTTTTTTTTGGTAGAAATTATGATTGAATATGTCAAAATTGTTTAAGGATTTGCTGTATGGTAGCTTCTACTGCCACATGGTCTGAAAATTATGTTATCCTTGTAGGCATACAATTGCTATGTTGAAGCTCTTCGTATACAACCAACTTTTGCTATTGCCTGGTCAAATCTTGCTGGGCTTTTCATGGAAGCAGGAGATTTTAAAAGGGCCCTTCAATATTATAAGGTAGGGATCCTTGAGTGCATGTTTATTTGTGGTTTGGATAGGAAGCTGAGCCATGATTATATTTTAATTTATCTTATTTCTTGGAATGAACATAAACAACTTTAAATTTTTTGCTTAGGGATTGGGCATTTTATGGACTAATTAACTTACAGCTTGAGTGAATTATATCTTTCACCTGAATTTATCTTGAATTATATCTGTACACACTGCTCATGGGTTTCATCGTTTTCCAGGAAGCTGTTAGGCTGAAACCAACATTTGCTGATGCCTACTTAAACCTAGGGAATGTTTATAAGGTAAGATATCAAATATTGTGCCAATAAGTTCGGCTAGCAGAAAATGTTAGGTGATTTCCAGAGAAAAACAAGATCTTTCTTTTACCTTTTTCAGGCCTTGGGGATGCTTCAAGAGGCTGTTGTGTGTTATCAGCACGCTCTTCAGGCAAGACCAGATTATGCAATAGCTTTTGGTATGTTTTGTCATCAACATTATTCATTTACCTTTTAGCTGATTTGCATTCACTTGGTTTCACTGTTTTTACTTATGATATTGGTAATTGAATTACTTCTAGCTACAATGCTGCATAGCTTTCTGTCCCTGCATTGTGGCTAAATTCTTTTGTGCTTGTAGAAGCAGCTGTTTATTTCTTGGATTGTCTCGCTAATGCATGGCTTGTTCAGGTCCCATATAGCTAAATTGAGTCATGCTGTCGTTGCTATTGGGTTATGTGAGTTGCTTGGACAGAGACATGGGAACTAGAATCTGACATGTTACTGACTTGGCAAGGAAAAACTAAGACATGCAGGCATATCTATAGAAAAGTAAAAACTATTAAAGTAGTTCATTTTTCCCCAATTCTAACATTACATATATAGCTTATTCATAAAAAAAAAACATTAAATATATACCTAAAATAGTCTAGAAATTTATCTTTGCTACTTAACAATGGTTTTGTAAGAAGTAGCATTTATTATGTATATTAACTGTTTATTATGTCAAATAAGCAAGTAGATAAGGTAAAATATCATGTTGAAGTGTCCATTAAGAATCCATTGATTGTCAGCATCCAATACGTGTCCCACATTGACACTTACTTAGGAGTGTCCATGCAACATTGGTTTTGTCATTTTCAACATTTACCAGGGTCATGTTTGAACTACAAGAAGAATGTAGTGGTATTGCTAAACATAATGATAGGGTGCATAAGCATTAGATCTTTTGAGGTCATAGTGCTGTTGATATATCTTAATCTGGAGATCCCTCAAAAATGAAAATGAAAAGGAATGAAGAAACTGAAATAAGAAAAATCAAGAAAAGGAGCATAAAGGAAAGAGGTCACAAACTGCATTCCCAGATGCTCAATTAATGGACCTGGTTCACCTGGGTGCACCCTGTTTTCGGAGTGTAAAATGACCCTAGAAATGGGATGTCATGAACTGACTTCTAAGCTTGACCATTTTATATCTCTACCTACTTTTCAAAAGAGAAAAGAAAATTTATATCTCTACCTAAATGTGGACAGTTGGAAAGAGAGCAAAATGAGCTGACTAATTTTACTCTAGACTCAGTTATTCTAGCGGAGGTCTGTTTCTACGGAGAAAATTAGCTGCCTAACTTGGTTTTTATGATGTGTTGGGCAATAATACATTCCAATCACTGATATGGTGCAGGCAATCTAGCTAGCTTATATTATGAGCAAGGCAAGCTAGATTTGGCAATTCTCCATTACAAGCAAGCCCTTGCTGATGATTCAGGGTTTTTGGAGGCATACAATAACTTGGTTAGTCTTCTTGTTTTCATTTTGGAATCTAATATGGATAATTTTCTCTTTGAATTCGGTGTTCACAATTTTTTTTATATTAAAATTTGAATGGTTGGCCACTGATAGGGCAATGCACTGAAAGATGCTGGCAGAGTTGATGAAGCAACCCATTGCTATCATGTAGATTCCTGTCCCTTGTATGATTTTGGGTTTTCTTCATTAGGTTGTGTTCTCTTTCTGTTCTTTATCCTGATGACATTTCTGTTGTTTTGTGAAGGCATGCCTTTCCCTCCAACCAAACCACCCCCAAGCTCTTACCAACCTTGGAAACATATATATGGAATTGTATGCCACCTAAATATCTTTTCGTTTTAAATGACCACAAAATTTTCCCTTGAGGCATTACTTAGCGTATAGCCATTCTGAGGCTCCATAAAGAAGATTTTTTTTCTTTTCTCCTCTGAATGTGCAGGAATATGATGACTGCTGCTGCTGAATGTTACAAGGCAACATTAGCTGTAACAACAGGACTCTCTGCTCCTTACAGCAATTTAGCAATAATATATAAGCAGCAGGTACAATTGCCACTTTTCACATATAAGAAAATGGAAAATAACTCCTTTCCATTCACTTGTTGTTATAAAAGACATATTTTAAGGGTACTCTGTTCTTTATGCTTATTTGCTATTAAATCTTTTGCCTGGTTCATAGTTGGAAATCTGATTTTTTTTCAACGACAGGGAAATTATCTAGATGCTATTTCTTGCTACAATGAAGTCCTTCGTATAGATCCTCTAGCTGCTGATGGGCTTGTAAACAGGGGCAACACATACAAGGAGATTGGTAGAGTTAGTGAAGCAATCCAAGACTACATACGGGCTGTTACTATTCGACCAACTATGGCCGAAGCACATGCAAATCTTGCTTCAGCTTACAAGGACAGGTATTGTGTAATTTATGATCCATATAAAGTTGCACACCTATTGTTAATGAACATATTTTTCATCCTTGGGATTTGGCTGAGTTGCAGTGGACATGTGGAAGCAGCTATAAAGAGCTATAAGCAGGCATTGCTTCTACGACCTGATTTTCCAGAAGCTACTTGTAACCTTCTACACACATTGCAGGTATCTTGCTAGTATGTGCATATATTGGCTATCTTTCTTGTTTTAGTATTGACCTACAGCAGTTTTTGATGGCTGGTCATAAACAATTGAAATTTATTAGGGCCAACCTAACTGAACTTTGTAAATAGGAAAATATTCATTGCAATGCTATTAGTCATTCTTAGTCGCGCAAGCTTGTACAATGGATGTTCTTGATTTATAACATTTAAAAGTTTCTGAGATTCAAATCTGTTAGTGGGTTAGGTTTAAGTTAACTGACTCTGATCTTCATGCTTCCTGTTTTATTTGTTTGTTTCTGTGATTTCTTAAGAGGTAATTCCAGCAAAATGTGTAGTATTCATTTGCTACCTCTTATTGTGCAGAAATCAGCAATACAACAGCTTTTTAGGATTTCAGAGTTTGGTCAATTTTTGTAACTGTCAGGAAGTCAGTTTCTTTTATTACAAAAAATGACTTGCATAAATAGGCATATATGGCTGATGTATTCTATGTTTCTCAGCACACTGAATTAAGTACAAAACAGAACATCAATTATCAATATTTTGAAAACATGTTTATGGAAGTCTAGGCCTCAAACAGGGATATTCTTTGTCCCCTTTGGTTCACACTAATAGCAGATATCCTCAGTTAAGAGGCCAGATAGGTTGTAATGTCCGCATGGTGGTTACCTACATGTAATTTTTGGATGAAATTATAATTTTTTGTCATGATAGAGGACTAAGAATCTTCAACTCCTTTTGAATGTTCTGAATGCATTTCGAATTTAAAGTTAAACTTGGATAAGTGTTGTATCGTTGACCTGTGTTAGGCTCGAGCTCAATTCGAGCTAGAGATTTGAGCTCGAGCTTGGCTTGTCCAAAGCTCACAAGTTCGAGCTTGAGCTCAACTGCAAGCCAAGTTTTTTTTCTAAAAAGTAAAAGTATACATATAAAAATATTTTTTTATTTTACATACAAAAAAAAAGAATTATAAAAATTATTTACCATTATACATAAAAAATAAAAATATTATATATAAAATATTATTATATTAATAAAAATTATTTATTATATATATTTATATGTAAATGTATGTATGTATATAATAAAAAATTATTTATTTATTATACTAGACTCGTGAGCCTCACAAGTCGAGCTTCACTGGGCTCGTGAGAAGCTCGGCTCGTGGCCATCCCTAATTACCAATTAAGTATTTGGGTCTCACCTTAGGTGGCAATAGAAACTCATTTGTCTTCTAGAATCTTAAATAGGTTTTGAAAGAAACTTATAAACTTATATAGATTGGAAGAGGGGAATCACTTTGATCAAATAAACTCTTGCAAAATTTCCCATTTACTTCTTGATCTTTAAAGTTCCTACACTAGTTGCTAAGAAATAGAAAGTTATCGGAGACACTTTGTGGGAACCAGACAACTCTAAACAAGGGCATTTGATTATTGGTGGATGCTTTCAAGTGTAAAAAGGAAGGAAATTTAGTTATAGGCAGAATTTAACTGCTCTCTCGCTTAGGCAAGTGGTTAGGTGATTTGATTGGCTTTAGGAAAATTTCATATAAAGTTGTCAAAAGTATCAATGGTATGATGCCCAATGGATGGGATGCGAGCTGGGATTTCTTGGAAGAAGTGAATGTGAGGATAGGTTTTGGGAAAAGGTGGAGAAGTTGGATGTTTGCTTGCATCTCTTCAGAAACCCCTGTCCTTGATGCTTTTCATGTTTGTGGTTGAGGTGTTAATTAAATTAATAAATAAAGGAGTGGGGGCAGTTAATTGATGGTTTTAACGTTAAAAGGGAGGGTGTAACCATTACATATTGTTAATATGCGAATGATACTTTGATTTTTGCAGACAATTCAATGCAGAAAGTGCCGAAGTTGAGGGCTATTTGCAAGGTGCCAACTGGCCAGTTGGAAACACCTGCTGGTTGTAGTGGAGACTTGGGATCAAATCCTGCCTGCATGAGGGTTGGGGGCTTTTGGGTTTGGGGGATGGGCTACCCCTGTTGTGTAGCCCCATGGAGCAAAAAAAAAAAACATTTAAAAAAATTAGTAAAAAAAAAGAAAGGACTATTCAGAAATGTTAAAATTCTAACAGGTCTGAAAATTAATTTAAACAAGTGTTATAATTGTGGTGTGTGATATTTCTCATACATCTTTTGAAGATGGTGCAGTGGAAATGGGATTTCTAGTGGGAGAATTTCCTTTTACATATTTGGGGTTATCAATTGGAGCAAAAACAGCAGCACCATCTATGTGGCTGTTTCCACATGTAGAGGGAAATGCTTATCAACTGGTGGGAGAACTACACTTGTAAGGAGTGTCTTAACCAACTTAATTTTTTTACTTCTCTTCTCAAAGTTCCAGCATCAGTGGAAGGGTGGTGGATTGGGGATTAGGAGAATAAAGCTACTTAACAAAGCATTGTTGGGTATGTGGGTTCGGAGGTTTGGGAAGGAGAGGGAGCTTTTGTGGAGGAGGGTTATTGTTTGTAAGTATGGAGTGGTTCATTTTGGTTGGGATTCGATGGAGGTTACATCATCATATGGTCTGAGTGTGTCGAAGGGGGTTATGAAGTTCCATTCACTATCGGTGCTTTTTTCTTCTTTGAAGGTTGGAGATTCGGGGTTTGAGTGTGTGATGCTATTATTTAAACTCCAAGAGGTGAAGATACATCCAAATGGTTCAGATTTAAGGTGGTGGAAGGAATGTAGAAAATGACAAGTTTTCAGCAGAATCCTTTTATAAAGCATTGGCAAGAAAACAGGTTGAAAGATCTTCAGTTAAAGGTGTTTGGGGTAATCCAATACCATGAAGAGTGGAAACATTTGTGACTGGTAGCAATGGCGGTCTACTTACTCAAGATCATTTCAAAAGTAAAGGATTTCAGTTGGCTAACAGGTGTCCATTCTGAACCCAAAGTAGAAAATGTCTTTTTATCTGTTTTATGGGTATTGCTATACAAAATTCATTTGGGGAATCTTCTTTCAGTTTTATTTGTGGCCTGGTCAAGTGCTGAAGTTGAGTATCGAGCTATGGCACATGGAGTTACTGAATTACCATGGGTGAAGAACTTTCTCTTGGGGCTAGGACTTCCAGTGAGATGCCTTATGACCTTGTACTATGACAATAAGGTGGCTATCAGCATTTAGTTCTGCATGATAGGACAAAACATATTAAGTTGACAGGCATTTGATCAAGGGGAAGTTAGATTTGGGTGATATTTGTATTCCTTATGTTACTTCCTTGAATCAGTTGGCCGGTGTTGTTACTAAGATAGTGTTTGCCCCCTGCATGGTGAGCTTTCCAACAAGTAGGAATGATTGACATTTACGGCTGAGTGTCAGAAAAATGGCTCACTTTGCCACTTGAACTGGAAATGAAGTCGCCACCCATCAAATTAGGAAATGGAGGTAATGGGACCTCCAAGAAAGATTTTTAAAATGCTTTGTTTTAATAGTGACTCCAAAACCCAAGGCATCAGTCCAACCAATCCGGGTAAGACTCGGATGGGAGAGGGAAGGGATTAGGCACCCCTCTCCCGGGTCCAATAGGTGGGGCCCACCAGTGACTTAAAAGGCACACCTAGGCGCTTAGGCGAGGCGCATTTTAGGGTAGGTGCCTCGCCTAGGTCCTAGGTGCAGCTCATTCAAAAGGTGCACCTCCTAGTGCGCCTTGCACCTTAGCCCAGGCGTGTGCCTTTTGAAAAACCCTAACATGGACTTGTTTGGGCTTGCCTCGAGGGGTGTGGCACAAAGGCGGCTCATTGAATTTTTAGCTTTTTTTTATTGTGCGCCTTGCCTCAAAAAGATGTGCGCCTCACCTTGCGCCTCAAGCACAAAATGGCCCTTGTGCTTTTAAAACACTAGGGCTCACATGGTAACTCAAATAAAAATAAAATCACAAGATATACAAGTAATCAAGCAGAATAAAAGGCACATCAATGAACATGAAAGAAAGCCTCCCCAATTTACTTATTTATATTTTTTTTAATTTTTACTCAATTACTTATTTGTTTATATTTTTTTTACCAATTATTAACCTATTTACTCTTTTTCCCCTAAATGTTCTCCTAATCTGCATATACTCTTCTTATCAAACGGACTACCCAGCACTGCTAACCCCATTGATTACTGTACCATTTCTTATCTTTTTTTTTAGTTTTATATTTTCTCTCTTTTTATTTTACTGCTCCCAAGTCCCATCCTTATTTTGTGTATTATTGTTCACTTCTACTATTTTCTATTTCCTTTCAGATCTGTCTTAACTAGTGCAGTATCCTTCCTTTGGATTAATCTTAAGCCCTAGCCACCCCTTTAGTACTCTTACCATACTCCTGAACTACAAGAAGACACTAATCCCTGAACCACATTCCCTTACTTTTTCTCTTGTTCATTTCCTATTTGCCTAGAGTATGTGAAAGTTAAACTCCCCAAGAACCATGTCTGCATAGATTAGTAGGATAACGAAAAGTAATCATGTTTAAACACTAATTGCATTACATTAATCACAGTCATGAATATGCAAACCTTATGATCACCATTATGACAATATTGGAGCATGAGAGACTAGATATTCAACGATAAAACCAAAAAAACAAATAGGACGGGGAAGAACAATGAGACCTAATCACTATCGATATTACATTCAAACCCAGCTAAAAACACTACCAACAAATACAGAAAAAGTTCAGATCGGATTGGGTTGGGGATAAGATCTACGGGAGTGAATCTGAGAGAACCTACTCGATCGATCCCCTCCCCAACCTCAAATCTTCCCTATCAAAAAGAAGAAGATTCGATTCAAATTGGGTACTTGAGTGATGTCTCAGCCACCGATGAAGCTGGAGAGAAAGAACGGAAGAGGCTACAAATTCTGGTGGAAGGGGGGTTGGCTCGATTCTCCTCCATCGTCTTCAAATGCAGAGGACTAAGAAGGAATGGTGGAGACTAAACCCATTTCGGCATCAGTTGCTGGCAAGTGAGGAGGGTATCAGTGTTGTTAGGAAATGACCGGTATGAGATCTGAGCTATCTGGCAAAGTCATGACCGACACTGCTTCTGAGTTCTATTCGAACGGGAACTTTAGAGTGGTAAAAAAAAGACGATGACGACTAGGCGGTGGGATCGATGAGGACGTGACCAGTGGTGACAGACCTGCGGAAACGAAGAAGGAGAAGAAGATGAAGGGGGAGAAATCCGGTGGGCGGAGAACTGTTGCTGCCTAAAATTGCAACAGCGGGAAGGAACAAGGGAGAACGAGATCAGCCGCTCAGCCTGAAATTATAGAAAGTGGGAGAGATGTGGGTTGCTACTGCTTAGCCACTAGTTCGATGTTTGAATGGGGAAGAAGAATCCATTGAATTCTTTCGATTAGGGCGAATGAGATGTTTAGGTTGAATTTATATGGGAGGTAGGGGCATTTCATAATTTTGGGTAATTTGGGGGTATTTTAGTAATTTTTGACAAACCCAGGTTCTGGTCCAGTGGTGGGTGGTTTCGGGTCAAAAGGTGGAAGGTTGAGATTGGTCCAACCACAAAGAGAGGGCTTGTGTTTGTGGGCTAGCGAGATTGGCCGAAATAGAATCTTTTTAGATGGAAGGGTTAACAAGGGTATTTTGGCTGAAATTTGGCAAGGTGGGGTTTTCAGGCATTCTGGGTTGATTGGTGGGATCAGATTGGCCCAACTTGGCCCGAATTGGACAATCTGGAAAGGGTTCGATTCGGTTAATCTAGGGCCTCAAAACGAAATCTTTGTGTGATTGAGGGGCAAACAAGGTCTGTTTTGGATGAAATTTCACAGGGTAGGATTTCTGGGTAGTGTGAGGTGATTGATAAGGTTAGATTGGGCCAATTGGGCCCAGATTGGACGGATTTGGAATCTGGTCAATCTGGGACCTTGAAATGGAATCTTGGTACAATTGAAGGGTAAACGGAGGTATTTTGGGTTGATATTTCACAGGTGGGTATTTGGGGTGTTTGGGATCTGATGATGAGGTCTGATCTGTTTTGGGGGGTCAGGGTTGTAGGAATTTGGGTCAACGAGATGATCTGGAATAGAAATTTGTTTTTATGGAAGGACAAATGGGGGAATCTGGGGTTGAAACTTTATGGGTAGGTATTTTGATGTATCCTGAGTTAATGGTGTGGTCTGATTGGTTCGGATGCATCAAAATCAAGGGATCTGAGTTCTGGGTGTTTAGGCTATTGAGAGGCATCAGAATGGAATCTTTGCTTGATGAAGGGGTAAACGGAGGAATTTTAAGCTGAAATTTTATGAGTAGGTGTTTTGTGAGGTCCTGGGTCTGGTGGTTGTGTCTGATCTAATGGTTGAGGTGCAAGTGAGGTTGATCGAAGCCATTGGATGGGCATCAGGCAGGTTTTATGGTGGATCTGAAGGTTTTGGGACTGAAAGTTGGGTTTTATGGGTTTTTGGGTATTTTGGAGAGGTTAGATGGGTCTGATCGGGTGTTTGGGGTAAATTGGAGGTTCAGGCGGCAAATCGAGCAAAAATCGGGTGCTGACAATGGCCCAAGTACTGAACTTGAGGGGGAGTGTCGATTATGTAAGTTCTCTGTCATGTTTTTAGTGTTAGGGGCACATTAGTCTTTTTGCCCTTCTTTATGGTTTCCCTAGTATAAATAATAAGAGGAGCTGCCACCCTCTCACTTTTGACAGCTCCAAGTACTTGTCCCTCTCTTCTTCCTTTCTTCTCTTCTAAAGAATCTAACACTGGAAACAGTATCCTTCAACCCCAAATATTACTAAAGCAAATTTTTGTTGGTTGCAACCTGGATAACCTAGATATTTTGGGGAATGGGGAAATTTCAAAACTTGGGAAGAAAATACTTTGGTGTTATGCTTTGGTCTGTTGGTTTTGGTAACTCGGCTAGGACAGAAATATGGCCAACCTCATATAGTTGGGAAAATGATTAGTTGAGTTAAGTAACTAGAGCAGAAACATGAGCATTTGTACAAAGATTAAGGGTGGCAAGATCTCTAAGTTAGAGTATCATAATGGTTGAAGGAGGTAATTGTGGGATGGACAAAAGGAACTATGTTGGATAATGAAATATAGACACAGAGGAACTAAGAATATGTTATGGATGGATACCAAGATTAGTCAATAGTTTTGCTGATTGGCTAGAAAAATGAGTGGTGAATAAAACTCAAAACTATTGGGGTTTAATTCCCCAATGTTGGAACTTCTTAATGTAAGTTTCAAAAGGAGGCATGTTGAAACTAGATACCTACTAGGGATACTTGACTTTTATTTGTTGTTTGATATTATTGTTATATATTTTCATATAGATTTTAACCATACCAACAAAAAGATGTTGAAAAGAGGTTTTGGCAAATACATGTTCACAGGAATCATTTGGAAAATGTCGTGTCAGCATAAAGTGCATGATATCATTTGTGTCAAAATGGTTTTAAAAACACATGCTCTCCAGATGTTGTGATTTTGATTATTGGAAATAAGAATCACTAAATTTGAAAGCCATGCTAAATGCCCCCTTGTATCTCTACCCATATTGATCTCAAAATCTTCCTTGAGCATAACACCATGGTTCAAATATCAATACGAAGCACATCAAAGCTCTACCTTTTATTAGTTTTAGTCAATGCCCCTTTGTTAATCATTAATATATGAGTTTTATTATTAATTAAAAGAAGTAGCTGTCACTAATTCTTTATATAATGCATGTTGGCAACCTCAAAAACCGATATGAATCATACAATATGGTATTATACGTATTGATGCTTTGAACCTTTCATAATATTAGGTCTCATATTTGTTTAATGGCAAATTTGACCCTCGAAACAAGTTATTTGGCAAACAACAAAAATTATATTTAGCCCCATGCGACATAACACTTTATGGATTTATTTTTTTAGAAGCATATGTAGCTTTATTTAAAATTGAAGTTTTACATTGAAAAATGAATGACTTTTTTTTCTCTAGATATTTTGTTTCATGAGGCTACATGATGGATGATAGCCCATCCCTTGTGTGTGTGTGTGTGTGTGTGTGTGTTTTAGTTTATTTTATTAATAATATAATGCTATAATTATTTTTAGTTTAATTTATTAATGGGTATGGAAACTAAAGGGGGTGAAAATATAAAATTAGATATATGAATTAGGGTGAATTTGTGTGTGCACACATACATGTGTGATTTAAGAATAGGAGAAAACTTGTCAAAATGCAGATGCCTACATGCAAACACCCCCTTCCCCCAACAGAAAAGAAGCCTCTGGTTTAAACAGAAATCAAATTGGGAGATACATAAGAGGTTTAGCAAAAGGGGGGTGGGAATGGCGATAGGGAAGTATGGCGTAACAAACAACTCATCTCTGTTAAAAGGAAAATCTCGTGTTTTCTCTTGTTCCTACTCAAGTAGGTATTTGTAGATTATTCTGGTTATGTTGGTTATATTAATTTTTGGAGCTACTGAATGATTTTTATGGTTTCCCTTGGCTTTGGAAGTCAAACTACTCTAGTGGGGCAACCACTATTTTATTTTTGGTTCAATATTGGATAACCACTATATACTCCTGAATATTTCTATTATGTAATTCATTTTACCATAACGTTGGTTGTTTTTTTATTTCTAACTGTTCAATTGTATCCTTAACATCTTTATATGGTATATTGTAATTTTGTAGGAAGAATTTTTAGTTTTAATTAGGTTTCCCCTTTGGAAATTATATGGTAATTGCAATCATCTATTCCTTGACTTTAGGAAGGATGTTCCATTTCATGGTTCAGCGTATGTGTATTTCTGTGTCATTGTCCTGGGTTATTTTGGTCTTAATTTTATGCAATATCTTTTATTAATGTACTGTACTGTGCTTGCACAATGTACCGATCCTGTGGGTTTCTACCTGGCTAGATGAACTAAGTTGCAAAAGTTTTTGCTGTAATGTTTAAAACTAAATTAGCGCCAATTCCGTGATTTGGCAATTTCTTCTTCAGTGTGTTTGCAATTGGGAGGACCGAGAGAACAAGTTCATTGAAGTGGAAGGAATTATTAGAAGGCAGATAAAGGTTTGCAGTCAGTCTCCTTGTTTTTCTTCCTTGCATGGTTCTTTTTCTTGGATTCTTTTGCATCTGGTATTGAATTTAGTACGTCCCAGATGTCATACTCACTGCCTTCATTCTGTGATTTCAGATTTCTGTTCTTCCAAGTGTGCAGCCTTTTCATGCAATTGCATATCCCATTGATCCAATGCTTGCATTGGAGATCAGGTAGGATGTAGATCTTTGTGCAGTGTGACAATAGGAAGGATAAGGCTTCTTAGTCATTTTTTTCTTTGTCATGCAGTTGTAAGTATGCAGCACACTGCTCTCTGGTTGCATCCCGTTATGTACTTCCTCCATTTAGTCATCCCCCTCCAGTACCTGTAAAGAATGATGGTAGAAATGGGCGACTGAGGGTTGGGTAAGTAAATGGCATTGGTTATTTTGTCTACTCTTTCATATATTATTTTTTGTTGTCTTTGTTGGTGATTCCTCTGGTCTCCAGATATGTGAGCAGTGATTTTGGTAACCATCCCCTGTCACATCTTATGGGCTCAGTATTTGGCATGCACAACAGGGAAAATGTTGAGGTCTGTATGTCTATACTCTCCTATTTTCAGTCAAAATGTTTTATTTGCCTTTATTATAAGAAAGCCTATTTTTACTTCTTTTATAACATTGGGGTATTTACAATTTGAGGCTGCAGGTGTTTTGCTATGCTTTGAGTCAGAATGATGGCTCTGAATGGAGGCTGCGTATACAATCTGAAGCTGAACACTTTGTGGATGTGTCTGCCCTAACATCTGATATGATTGCTAGGATGATTAATGAGGATAAAATACAAATTCTAGTTAACCTGAATGGTTACACCAAGGTATCTACCATGGTTTGGTACCTTTGGCTCTTTCTTGGTGTTTCTTTGAAGTGTTTATATCTCATTTAGTCTGATTACCAGTGTTTATTGTTGGCTTTTCTTGATAACACTGGTCACTGGATAGTTCATATCCGAACCAGCTTTGTCATAGAAACATTTCATTTCTGTTTTTAATCCTGTCTATGCTGTTCTATACATCTTTTTTCCTCCCATTAATTCTCGAGTTGGTTAGAGTTTATAACCTACTGTTGTTCATTCTGCAGGGTGCAAGGAATGAAATTTTTGCAATGCAACCTGCACCCATTCAGGTTTCGTACATGGGTTTCCCTGGAACAACAGGTGCAACTTACATAGATTACTTGGTCACAGATGAGGTGGGCACCAGAGTCTAACCTCTTCAGTTTCTTCAAAACTTAATGATTTTTGTCTAGCATAGGCTCATAGCGAACCGGCTTCTTCAATTGCAGTTTGTTTCACCTACCTGTTTTGCACATATTTACTCTGAGAAGCTTGTCCATCTCCCTCATTGTTACTTTGTAAATGATTATAAGCAAGTCAGTCTTTCTAAACCTTGTAATATATTCTTCATTCCTGATATTTTTGTTTGCTAGTATGGTGATTCATATTTTTTTCTGACTTAATATTTCTCAGAAAAATCATGATGTGCTGGATCCTATTTGGCTACACAAGCGGTCAGATTATGGATTGCCCGAGGACAAGTTCATATTTGCATGCTTCAATCAGCTATACAAGATGGATCCTGAGATCTTTGATACCTGGTAACCTCAAAAGGGATCACTCCTTTACTTGATTTGTAGCTCTGTGTTTAAACATCATTTCACAATGATAATATTCATGTTCGAATTTAGGTGCAACATTTTGAAGCGCGTTCCCAATAGTGTGCTCTGGCTTCTTAGATTCCCAGCTGCAGGCGAGATGAGACTTCGATCATGTATGTGGGATGGATGTGTCCATTAATTTGTTAGTTTGTTAGACAATCTTTTAGCTTGTAATAATTATAACTTTCATAAAATTGGTTTTCCCATCTATGAAGTTGCATATAATTCATCTTTTCTTTTGTTTTGACATGCTCAGATGCAGCTGCTAGAGGAGTTAAGCCGGGCCAGATAATTTTCACAGATGTTGCCATGAAAAATGAGCACATAAGACGCAGTGCTTTAGCAGATCTCTTCCTTGATACGTAAGTTTAGTTTTTAACTGTTTATTTCCTCCCTATTTAATTTTACTGCAGGGACACTTTATTTCATGTTTCACAGTAATTAGATAGCTTCATGTACCTATGGATGATTGTTGGTATTTTGTCATGATTAGGCCATTATGCAATGCACACACCACGGGCACAGATATTCTTTGGGCTGGTTTGCCAATGATCACTTTACCGCTGGAGAAAATGGCAACTAGAGTTGCTGGTTCACTGTGTCTGGCCACTGGAGTAGGAGAGGAGATGATTGTTAGCAGGTATTTCTTAGTTTTTATTCATTTCCTATCAAATCTTTGTTATGTTCACGACTTTCTCATCCCTTCTGAGTTCTGACATGATCTCTGATGTTAAAAGTATGAAAGAGTATGAGGAGAAGGCAGTATTGCTTGCGGAGAGTCGCCCAAAGCTCCAGGCTCTTACCAATAAGCTCAAGTCAGTCCGTTTGACTTGTCCTTTGTTTGATACAGAACGCTGGGTAAGTCAATTAGGAATTATTTGGATGTTGGTATTCTCTTTCAACTTCGGACATTCATATTTGTGGTAGGGTGCAATTAGGGTGGGCATGGGTTGAGAATTTTTTTAATTTGAGTCGGCTTGGCCTGAAAGCTCAGGCCCAATGCAGTGTAAATTCTTCAAATCAGGTACCCGACTTGCACCCCTAGTTTGTGGTATTTGCTGTGGTCCCTTTGCCAATTAGACTTCTTATGAGATGATCTCTATGAAGGAAATTAGAATTCTGTACCTAACCTTGAGTTGGTCTTGGTCATCATTTCCCTGATGAATTCATGTAGGCCAATGCAAGGTCTCAATGCAGTGATCCCATTAACATGGCCGTGTGCCTTCACCTCACCCAGTCTTGTTTGAAAATTGGGTAAAAATTTTACACTGATCAGGTTTTGAACAAAAAACTTCAGGTGAGGAACTTGGAACGGGCCTATTTTAAAATGTGGAACTTGTACTGTTCGGGTGGGCATCCCCAGCCCTTCAAAGTAACCGAGAATGATGCTGAGTTCCCTTACGATAGGTAGGTAGGAAGACGACTGTGTAGATAAACTATAAAAGCAAAGAGAAATGTAAGTATGCTAATTGTTCAGACCTTATTGGTTTTAACTTTTATGTTTTCAAGAGTGCAAGGGCTGCCCGAAATTCAGATTGTATTATGTGAAAGCTGTCTATATGCAAATGAATGAAAAGAATTAGGAAATGTATTTCTCTTGCTTTGTTGTTGCTGCGTAATTCTTTATGCTAATTGTTCAGACTTCAGACTATCAACCAAAACTGATGGTCCTTTCTCATTCTGCAACAACCCTTGTTTTACGCCCATCGCTGCTGATGTGGAAAAGCTGGACCTGTAGGATGAGCTAGGGGCCCAATTATTTATTGAATTATCCAGGCTCGAGGGTATGACCGGTTAATAAGTTAATCAGTCGAACTGTTGTAGCCTAATGTTGTAAAAACAGTACTCAAGGGAGAATGAAACTTATAAATCTATGTTTTTCCAACCTAGAGTGCAACAATGGTGCAGAATCGCTTCAGAAGAAATTAATCGGGTGTTCGCAAATCATTTTTCAAGATGAAACAACCCATAAGCTTCTGATAGATATATACTCGCTTACCATGGGTCGACATCGACCAATGTTTTATGGACACAGAAGTATCCTTATGGAGAGGTATATCTCTAGAGCAATGTGAAAGCCACTTAATTCGAAGAGATACAAAAACATGAAAAGACAAAAAGAGAATGTTTAAATAGAATAGTAAATGATCAATGGTTAATGTGGTTAAGTAAAACTTGAAACAAATGGTAGACCTAAAAATGATATGATGTGGTGACCTCACCTACGCCTTTGCCTCCACCGGCCCGGCTTGGTGCATGTGTGTGAAAAGCACCATGACACCCCCAACGTATGAATAGAGTGTATAGTGTATTTTCCTCCTATGGATCCCTTTAGTTAAGTAATATACTAAAAGCCTACTTATGTTCTCAAGCAATGTGAGACAAGAGGCCTTTACATGCTTCAAGAGACTAGAAGATAAAAAAAAAAGTAAAAGTCAATAAAGACAAAAAGTTAACGCAAGAGGGTGAGTTCAAGACTCTTGCATGAATCTTTCTTTATGAATCCAAAAATTCCCCACAAGATTTGAAATACGGGTAAATCTAAGCACCAAAGTAAGAGAAGTATTTATGTTTATGTTGATGTCTTTTAGACTTCAATCAACATTTAGGTATAATAGATTATGATATAGGTCATTAGTAGAGTTATACTCTTTCAACCTTTCCTTTTTAGCATAACTTATTTGCCACCAATCTAATTCACCAATTCCTTAGTGATTCTTTTATTTTGGAACACTTCAACCTTGTCTCCCTCTTGGAATCATGATTATTTTAGAGAGTTGACCCTTAAAGCTCTTATAAAAGCAGTCATGCTTTGCAATCATTTAGGTCAGTCACTTAGTATGCATTACACACTTGTATGAATTGATTAAGAGTTACATTCACCCTCCACATCTTTTTGTGAGTGCTATCTTACTTCAGCATCTATAATGGGTTCAAAATAATAGTATTTTTCCAAATCATTGACTCATTCTTACCTATGGAATCTAATTCTAGGGATCTCCCTACTCATAGGTTGGGTGTCCATCACCAATGATTTATGTAACAGACATTAAATCTATACCTACAAATACCTTATAAACCACTAAACCACTTTAGAAATTTATGGTTTGTTTAACAAATCTATAAGGTTCTTTTTAAACCTTACAAAATTCTAGAGAAATTGTTCATTCATTGAAGTATTTATCTAAGTGTCTTAAGCATATATGCCTCTTTTTACCATTATAGGTTTTATTCTTAGCTCTAGCTATGGTAAATTGGCTATCATAATGGAAAGATATAGATGAAACTGGTTGTGACCATAATGCTATATCTATCAATAAGTTCCTCAGCCACTTTGCCTTAGCCCCTACTAGTACCAACACAATAAACTCAACCTCTACTATCGATTTTGTATTGTAAGATTGTTTTACTAATTTTCAAGAGATTGCTTGCAGTCAGTTTGATAATGATCGAGTGACAHTGCTTCTTCGGTCCGAACCAAGGAATTCCTTAGATATGATGCAAAATGGATCTTGTTCTATCGTTGATCAGAGATTTCTATATGAAAAATACGAATCGGAGTTTGAAGAAGGGGAAGGAGAAGGAGCCCTCGCTTTTCAGCCACTTGGGAAGTTTCAGTTGGTTTGGTAATAACCATTAAGGATGAAGGTTGGGATTTCTTCCTCTTCCTCTCAACCTCTAATCCTAATAAGGTAGGTAAGTTTTTTATGCTAACTTCTCTTCCAGATAGGTTTAAAGTTGTTACTATAGAATTCCAAGAAGATGGGAGGCTATTAAGAATGGTGGAGACCTGAATTTTCTCAGGAATAGGGTTCCTAGTGACTGCCAACTCTTTGGCAATCATATTCATTTTACTAACATGATCTATTACAGAATCCTCTTCTCTCATTTCACAGCCATAATATTTTTCAATTAACAATTGAACATAGGTTTCAGTTATTTTTCCATATGTTTCTTTAATGGCTTCAAACATATCTTTAGCATTATTATATTCTTCAAACACAACTTCTATGTCAGGCTCCATAAAAGTTAACAAACAATTTCTTACATTCCTATTATATTTTTCCCATTTTTGATATTCACGAATTACAGTCAATGAATCATCATCAACAGGTTTAGTAGGAATAGATTTATCTAAAACATAATCAACATTTTCTTCATCAAGTATCCTTCCAATCCTACGTTTCCAAAGAGCAAAATTGGTGCCATTCAATTTCTCAGTTTTACTGAGTTCTTGGGATAATGCAGTAGCAGACATGATTCAAAATAGCAATAATATTCCATAAATAAATAAAGCAAGTGCAATATCAGTTGGTTGTATTTTACGAGACTGTCATTCAATTTCGGAGGCCAAAAATAAATAAATAAAGTAAATGCAAATGGAGTACTTAGCTATTTATGCAAAAAATAATAATCAGCAGTTAAGTTATCCAGCAGATTTAATTTGTCCAGCTCCCACTACTCTTTTTAATTCAACAGCAGCTTTGGTATTCGGCAATGATGCTTCTAAGTGGTTCAAAAAAATGTATCCTAAAAAAAATGACAGCAAATGATCGATAAGATGTATGAATAAATTATTACAAAAAAAAAAAGAACGAACAAATATCGAAATGGGCAAAAAAAAACAAGTATATAAAACTCTAATACTCGATTTGAGATGCTTGGGTTCGCCTCATTGGTCGAATCTGCCTTATCTAACTAGATTTGTTTTGTAGTGAACGAAAATAGTAAAAAGCCCTAAATTTATTTAGGGTTTCTTGTCTCACTGATCTGAGCATCTATGGAGATGACTAAAGTTTCTGCAGTTCCTCGAGCAGCAAATTCATTTATGTATCTGAGAAAACTCGAACTACTAGTGATGGTTTCGAGGTTGCAGTAACGTAGGAGTGAAGTCGTTGTCGTTAGAAGCCAATGGTTGGACTGGAGGTGAGAAAAAAAAACTTTGAACTGGGTTCTGTTGTCTCGGAGTTGCCAGAGCCGCCGTTTGTTCGGAGATGGGTAGTCGAACAGGGTTTCATAATGGAAACCAAACGAAACCCTCGTACCAGTTCTCTTTCTCGTAGTGAAGGGTGCACAGATGGGAGAGACAAGAAGAGAGGTAGAGATGAGAGGAAACCCTCGAAGTGGGTTTGTTTTCTCTCTCCTCTCCTCTGAATCTTAAATGATGAGGTAAGATCTGGTGTGGCGCGACTATACTTTAAACACTATGCCAGTCGGTGCTGCGCTCCGATACCATTGATGCTCCAAGTACATGCAGAGGTGAACGGCTGAGATCTTCATGTATCAAACATGCACGCAAAGAGAGAATAATAGCAGCTGCACAGTATAGGATCCGAGACACCAATCTCTCGAAGAAAGTGTAAGAGAGAACTGCTTAATCTAATTAGTGTTGAAGCTGACAGGATATTTTCCCTTCTTAGTAAAGAACTTATGTCGTGTGTGAGAAGCACTTGGGAGTGATCCCTTATATAGTTGCTTCTCCAACGTTAAGTTCCTTGTTATTAGGAACAAACAGTAACCAGAAAAACCAATTGAGATAAGTATTCCTCAACAGTAAAATTCATGCTCCATCAGATTTGAGACAAGTGTCTCATGTTGACCAAGGATCTAACCACTTATTCATTTGACCCAATAAGAACTGGAATATGGATCCAAATAATCCAACAATATTGGTATCTCCATGCATAAAAATGTTTTCAAATAAACAATCAAATAAATTTATTTTTATAGAAAATAAATAAATAGGTAATTATTTAAAATGAATGATTGTGTGAGAGTGTTGCATGGAGATAACCATAAAATAATCATCTTCCATCAACATGTGGCTTGTCACATGGCCATTGGATATTCCAACATGTTGAGGATTAAACGAGGGCCTATGGCCACTCTACCATCACACATGACAAAGTTTCGTTGATGCATCCAACGACTTTGAAACCAAGATAATGCTGGCCTTGGCACTGGAACATCTCGTATAAGATTCCACTAATTAGATAATGCTGTTGGTTGCCTTGTGACCCACACCCACTTTTGTTGTCTCTGTGAACTTTTTTCAATTAAAATATTTAAAGGACACAATAAATTATGATTTGCATTATCAGGTTTTCCTTCTATTTTAGAAGGCTTTATTTATGCAAATTGGATTTCAAATTCAAAGGAATGATCAGAGATTGGATTTGGTCCTCATGTAACCTTGTTCACATAGTCGTCAATTGAGAATCTTTCCTACTTGACACTGACCTGAACTGTACGATCATGAAAATCGTGGAGAGAACGGTGTGAGCATGGTTGTGATGACAAAATTGGATTTGATCGCATTGGGTACATCTTCATAATTGTACGTTTTTTATATGGGGAGATATTCCCATAAAACTCTTTCCATATTATATCTTTCTCGCATTATAGATTTTCTCTTTTTATTTATGGGGAGATATTTCGAATGCACAGTTACGAAGAGGGTGTGAGTATCAAATCTGATTTCAATTTCAGATAGAGTTCGGATTTCAGATAGCACGGGAAAGGAAAGAAGAGTCATATACTCTTGATTTTGCACACTTTACTGTTCAACCCGAAGCAAGACAAATTCTTTTCGGGTTTAATCTTCTTGGTTCTTTCACGATGTTTTTTATTTTTTGATATTCGGGAGTTATATTTTCTTGGGAAAATTATTATTACTACCTTGTACTTTGGGCCTAGTGTCACTTTGGCCCCCAAACTTTAAAATGCGACAATTTAGTACCTGAATTTTCAAAATGTGTCAATCCAGTACCTATTGTTAACTAGTTGTTCAATGACATTTGAAAAAGACACAAATGCCCTTTGAATTTCATCTAATTTTGTTTACCAACCATCCAAACATTGACAAAAAATTAACAATCCTAAATTCTTGCCTCTCTTATTCAAGAAAGTTGGGGCCTAGAATGCCCACTAAGACGTAACACCAATTTTCTTGAATAAGAAAGGCAAGGATTTAGGACTGTTAATTTTTTGTCAACATTTGGATGGTCGATGAAAAAAATTAGATGACACTCAAAAGACATTTTTGTCTTTTTTAAATGTCATTTAAGGGCTGGTTGATGGTAGGGATTGGATTGACACGTTTTGAAAATTTGAATATTAAATTGTCACATTTTAAAATTCAGAGACCAAAATCGCATTAAACCCAAAGTAATTGATTTTCCCTATTTTCTTTGGCTTAGAAACGATTTCTTTGAAGCTAAAAAGTCTGAAATGGCGTCATCATAAACTCGGGAGTTATATTTTCTTTGTCGTAGGCACGATTTCTTTGAAGCTGTAAAACAGTTTCCCAGACCCGGGCCTACTACATCCCAGACCCGTATGGGTCTGGATGTGATAGGCACGTTAGAAGTAGGACATGTGTCACACAAGTATTACTTGCTCACCAACGTCGCGCCATTCAAACCACGAAAAATCAACAAGGCCCGTACAGAGCCATCTTGTTTAGGCTTCATGCGATTCCATTAATTCAATTTCAACGAGTCTCGCTTGGTTCCGTAACAGTTCGAACGGGTACATTTTTCATTCTTTTTTGTTTTGTTTTGTTTTGTTTTTGGGTCTCATCTTCTTACGATCATTTCTCTCAAATCGTAGACGAAAGAAGAACACGAAGGATCTCAATCTCATCAACCAACTCCTTGTACAGAACTCACTTGATTTTTCTGGTAGATTTGTCTTTCTGATCGTATCCGATTCTCCTGTATTTTGAAATTTTTAATCGTTCCAGCTCAAGACTTTATTTCTGGATTTGTTTTCTTTGGCAGCTCTAGTTTTTCATTAGATATAGATATATGGTATATGCATTTGTGTTTAAAGGTTCGGATTTGATTTATATGCTACTGTTTATTGTGAGTAGTTTTGTTTTTAATTCACCATATTCAATTTCCATACTAATTGCTGTAGTCCTGGGGCAATTTTTTTTTTCTTTTTTGATTCGATAGGTTAGGTTTGTATCATTTTCTTCCCAATTACTTATGCTTGATTTTGAAAGTCAGGCTTTATTATTTTTATCATTGGAAATTCATCGCTGCTGAGTTCTGGCTTAATTTTGCAAAACGTCGACAGTAATCGTGACACCAAGCCTTTGAATATAGTAGTGGACCCTATCTATCAGAAGAAAGAAAAAAAGCAAGGTAGTGGAAACTGCCAATATAGTGCTTTGTTCTCAAGACTTACCATACAGCATCTTGTACGTTCTAGCTAATGTATGTAGTTGAATTCCGCTTTGAAAAGTGGGTGGTGGGGTGATTTAAATTTTGTTAGAAAATCAAAATTAGGGTATTGTTCCAGACCGGAATGAGATGTACAGGGTACATGAAGGCTGTCAAGGAGGATGATGCATTTTGGACCTACAGGAATGAAATTCCGTAAGACAAGAACTCTTGGTAGTAGTTTGTGGAGTACAAAATGCAAATAAAATGGGGATGAAGAGACCTGTAATTGAAGGAGACTGGGAAGTGGTGATAAGTTGGTTGGAGGGTGATGCATTTTGGACCTACAGGAATGGGATCAAACATTTGGGATGGCTCTCAAGGAGTATGCAAGTAACAATACGGTGGCAACCAAGATCAACTAATTCCTTGTATGATAATCTAGCTAAATAAAGAGTACACAGGAGACATTTATATTGGGCTAAATTGTAAAATTTAAAATGTAAAAGGGTGGGATAATAGGGGCTGTACCCTATTGTATAGTTTGTATAGAAAGATTCTCTTCTTCACCTATATTTTCTCTTAATAAATTTTCTGTTATTCATAAAAAAGGCTTTACATATTAAAGAGAGAGAACCAAGTTAAACTTTGATAAAGTCGAGAACCATGAATATAAGATTTAATTCGATAGAAAACAAACAAGAATAAGAAAAAAACAGTAAGGGAAGAACCATAATTATCAATTGTGTTATTAAGAGTGATGCGGAACCCTGTTTGAGACAAGGAGACCCCATTTCTCCTTTACTTTTCACACTAATTGCTGAAGTTCTAAGTACATTGGTCATCAAGGCTGATTTGGACAACTTGATTAGGGCTTGGACTTTGGAGGGTAGGTGGAATAAGGTAGTTGTTATTCACTTACAATTTGCAGATGATGTAATTGTTTTCTGTGATGGGAGTGATGAAGGTGTTATGAGGAACCTTTTTAGTCAATACCTTTTAGAGGGTCTCTAATTTAAAGGTGAATTGGGGGAAAATTGTTTTATGGGAATTAACATGGGAGAGGATGAAATTCAATTATTAGTAGGAACCCTGGGTTGTGAAGTTAAAGATTGGCCACTAGAGTACCATTGGACTTCCATTGGAGGGAGAATGGCCCTAATTAGAGAGATTTGCTAAAACGTTGGCTCTTTGGAAAAGGAATTACATTTCAATTGGTGGGAGAATGACCCTAATTAAATCTACACTAGCCAACTTGCTCATTTACTACCCGTCCACATTTTGCATTTCAGTTTAAGTGGCTAAGCAGTTAAAGAAAAGACATGAGGGACTTCATATGGGAACTGAGGGACAAAAGGAAGGACTATTTGGTCAAGTGGGAACATGTGTGTCGATCCAAGTAAAAAGGTGGGCTAGCTATTGGAAACTTGATTAAGAGAAACACAACTTTGCTAGATAAGTTATTGTGGAGGTTTACTGATAAAAAAAGTCATTGTGGAAATTTCCCCTAGAAAGTGATAGGCTATGGCACAGGGTCATTGAAGCATTCATAGTGTCGTGGAAAATGGTTGGGATACAAAGGTGGCTCCATGTTTTTTATTTTTTGATAGGTAAAAATCAAAGATTTTATTAAAATAAGGTGGCTCCATGTTCTTCTTCAACTTCTCCTTGGAAAGCAATACAAGAGGTACTCCCAACATTTCTTAACTTCACTCATTTTGGTGTGTGTTGTTGGAACAGAGTTTTGTTTTAGGAGGATATATGGATTGGTGACATGCCCCTCAAATTGTAATTCCCTATGCTTCACTCCCTTTGTAACTACAAATTTAAACCTATTTCAAAATTTGGACTTTGGAGTAGCCTCCCCTTTTGGAATAAACTAAGACTTTGGTTTTAGGAGGGGATTAAGGGATAATGAACATGAATCCATCCCCTTTTGGCTAAGTTGGATTTGGTCTTCATGAAACAAAACTTGAATGGTAGTAGAATCTGGTTTCCCTCCCTTGATGTCTTCTATTTTTTTTTTTTTCTGTCCCTTTTTTTCAACTTTTTCTTTAACCTACTCGTTCACTCTGCCTGGGGTGAACGAGTAGAATCTAGTTTCTCCCTTCTTCTCCTCATTTCTCTTCTTCTTCCTTTGTTTTTAAGCTTCACCTTAAATAACTGATCAGAAACCCTAGCTGAAAGACAATGAAGTTGAACTTCAATGGTAGCTCTATGGGCAATCCGGGGAGGACAGGCATAAGGAGTGTGTTCAGGAACCATTTAGGCATGGTGGTGGTTATGTATTGAGGGTCAATTAGTAGTGGTGACTCAGTTAAAGCTGAAATAATGGCATTTTTGCAAGGACCGAGGTTAGCACAACTTGATTTCTGAGATTTGGAAGTGGAAGGAGATCCAAAATTGGTCATGTCTCGGACAAAACAATTTAATACAATGATACTTTACCTTTGCTCAAAAAAAAAATTAATACAGCACCTTGGAGTTACAGGCACACCTTCAGGGAGTTAGGTTACCTTCAAGGGAACTCAATACCACCTTTATCTGGACTAAAAGAACTGTAAATGGGATGTCAGATATATTATCAATACAGGAGGTTAATAGACATCACTTGTTTTGGGCCAGATGTAAATCAGTCCTGTAAAACTGACATAAACTTGGTAAAATTTAGAGAGAAAGAAGGAAGAAGAATAGAGAACAGCAGTACAAAGGAAGAAGAAGAAGAGTTCGAATATCTCTTCCCTCCTTTCTCTAATCCTTTTGTTAAACTTCAAATCTGAGGTTAATTACAAGTATGCCCTTAAGTGGGTGGCCAGCTAGGCAGTAACATAAAGAAAACTAACAAAAAGAAATAACAGGCCCATTAGCTAATAACATATTACAAGAAAAGATACTAGGGCCCATTCGGCCCAGTATCTCTACAGGGCCAAGTGTAAACCTTTATACATGGGGGTTGGTTGGAGTGCTCCTACTTTTGTACCAAACTTTAACTTCAGATCTTACTTTAATGAATTCTTTTGTTGATGAGGAAAAGAGTGATGCAGGACCCACCTAAACAGCAGCTGTTTAGGTTGTTAAAATGGGCCTTAGCAAGCTGGAATCAGACCACAAAGCCCTCAGCTTGTTAGTTTGAGATCTAGCTCTGACATACCCAGCAAAATAGGCTCACAAGAATTTAAAAGAATAGAGCTTATGGATTTGTTTAGTAAGTAGAAAAGGCTGGTGAGGATGGTTGGTGTACAACTAATAGATGACAAAGAAATTTTCAACAAAAAGATCACAAAGGAAAAGAAAAAGGGGGGAAAGAATGGAATAACAAGAAGATAAATCAAAAGTACAGGAGATGATTCAACAATGTAATCTGAAGAGCTATACTTGAAGTAGCAAGGAAGAGAAGAGAACCACAGAACTGAAGAGAATGTCGAACTGTACTAGCCAGTCGACCARTYYTTTATTTATAGATSRATRTAGTACAAGGTACAAGAAATTACTGGGATGCCCCTGATTAGTGATGGGACACCCAGATGACTTAAATCATTAAACAGGATTAGGTCCATTAACACAAGCCCAGTTACAAGATAAGTTAAACATAAGAATGGGCTAATAAGAACTCTTATCAGCCGAACATCACTCTAACATTCTAACAAACAATAAAGAGGAAAGTAAGATGAAAAAAACCTATTTAAAATAACGATGCCAAATTCAATAGTCTGTTACCCAACCAAAGATTGAAATACCTGTGGTAGGTCAAAGATGAGTCAAGATGGGGTTAACACCATTAGGTATCCCTAGGAGTCAACACCTTGTAGCTTGGAGTCAATACCAAATGATGTAATTGTAGGAACTATTCAATCATATTCTTCATTTAGCAATATTAAAAGGATTGTTTAAATGGCATATAGAGGATTCAAAAGATCCCGGTTGAGATCTATAGTGTACTTATTTTTCTAAATAGTAAGGCTAAAAAACTAAAAAATGAATCTAGTCAAATCTTGAGAAGATTTGATACTTTTTTGGTTAGTAACAATCAAACTTTTATTAATTAATCAGAGTATAAGCAGATTCCAATGATGAGATGGCCAGCTAGCCTCAGCTAACCACCACCCTTTAATTACAAATTCTCCTGCAAGGTACATAACCTCTTTAATTATAAATTGCCCCTTGTTTAGCTAAACCATCTGCTAAACAGTTGGCAGACCTGTACACCCGAAATGCCTTAGCTCCCAACTCTTGTGTTGGAGACTAGTTTCCTGCAACATATGGGTCCTGTTCTGTGTTGGATATAAAGAACAGAGGGTGTAATGACAAGGGCAGAAAGGGAGGTTTCATAATAGGTTATCTATGGTCTGTACTCCTTGTATGTTTAATGATAGATTTCTAGATAGTCTATATAGATGCTATTCTGATTTCTGTGTTGACGAAGAGATAGAAGCTAAAATACAATTTAATGTGTGTGAATTTAGGAGCCCAGCTGCTGGCTGGGGAGATCTAACTTTCTTTGTACTCTTGGTTTTGTGCTTTAGTGGAAAGGCCCTTTGTAATTTGTATGCCGTTTATTCATCAACGAAAGTTACCTTACCTTTTTCAAAAAAAAAAAAAAAATGTGTGCCTTGGATCTAATTATTGCTTGCAGTGCATCTGCACAGTGTAAACAGGTACTAGTCAATTGTTCTTGTTAAGGCAGATAAAGTGGTCTGGGATGGCATGTTTTTGAGGGTGTTTGAAATGGGGTTTCTGTTCAGAACAGATTTAGTGATGTGGAGTTTCCTTTTAGTGATGATAGATAGAGAGGAAGAGAAGTAGTGGTTTTGGGTGTAGAGGGAGAGAGGACTTAACATTATAAATTTAGTGATGGACATCCTGCATGAGGAGAGCCGACTTAACATTATAAATTTAGCAGCCATTGTATCTTATAATGTTATCATGGCTTTGGACTTGGGGTAGTGGGCCCCCTCTTTTGATCATTAACACAGCTCTTCTGCTCTTAATGAAAAAGATGTGTCAACAGTGTTTTATAAGGCATGTCTAGGCACATTGACAAGGCTCATTTTAGGGAGTGCACCTTACTGTGCTTATATCAACCTTGATTTTCTTTCCTATTTTTTAGGTAACATGGAAATGGAGCTACACAAGATGGAGGTAACACCTTCCCAGATGTCCATTGCAGAAATATAAGATAATCACAAGGAACTACCATAAAAAGTATCACTTCCAGCATGGCCAGCATTTGCTAGCTAGTCAGTAGCCTGAATTAACCTTTTGGATTTGATGTTTCAATAAGTAACTTACCATATTGTATATTGTAGCTGTATGTTTGGAGTTTGAATAGTTTAGCCTATGTAGGACATGAACCTACAAGACTACAACCTTCATTTTTATAACATAACATGCTAACCTTCATTTTAATTTACCATACTTCAGGCTTTTGGAACCCTTGTGCTTTTATTGCATTCCTCACTTTTAAACCACTGTATGACAAGTGAGGAACTGTGGGCTCTCAAAATATGAATGGTTCAAACATGTTGGCATCATTTACTTTGTAGTTTGGATCTGCTCCTGGAAAAACTTGTCCCAACAAGCTTCCAACATGACATGTCTGCACATCTTGGACCTGATTACCATCTCAAAAGTATGGCCCCATCAATGAGTATGAAACATGTCTGAGATGTACCAATACAGATCATGTTGGAAGTGTGTTGGGACAAGTTTCGTTTGGAGCAGATCCAGACTCCTTTGATTGAGTCATATCTTTTGTCTAAATTTCAATGCAAATGTGCATTTCAAGTATATGGCAACTTATATTTGTATTTCTTCAATTTTGCAGATGGAAAATGATTGCCCAGTGTACACTGTGGATGAAGCACTTGTGTCCTTGGGGTTTGGGAAGTTCCAAATCTTTGTGCTTGCTTATGCTGGGGCTGGTTGGATTGCAGAAGCAATGGAAATGATGCTTCTTTCTTTTGTGGGACCAGCAGTTCAGGCTGAGTGGGGGCTTTCTTCTCATGAAGAGAGTCTAATAGCCAGTGTTGTTTTTGCTGGCATGCTAGTTGGAGCTTATTCATGGGGCATTGTTTCAGATAACTATGGACGGAGGTATGCCGTTTTATACTTTATATGCATAGTTTTCAAGGCGCCAAGGTGAGGCTAGGCCATAGGGGGTGCCTAAGCCTCCCCTGGGCAATGTGTGTGTGTGTGTGTGTGTGTGTGTGTGTGTGTGTTTTGCAAGTAAAAACCATATTACCCTAGGGTAATTCCCTAGGTTCCATAGCAACTAGCGATGATGATGTTTCCTTAATAATTATCTAAGAAAAGTATAAACTTCATGTTAGTGTATAGAAAGTCAACATACTCATGAGAAGGAAAAGAAGAAAAAAAAAGAAAATTTCTGAAAATACAAGGGCTGAGCCCCTATTTTTGTCCTAGGAAAAGAAGAAAAGAAATTTTAAGTTCTTCCTTATTGGTTCAGGTTTCAAGAAGAAGAAGAATGTCCTAGGAAGAATGTGCTGATTGGATAAAATTTTAAGTTCTTTCTTACTTATCGGTTCTGGTTTCGAAGTCTTTGAGTGTTCGAGACGGCATATGGCAATGTGCGTGTTGATTGAACCCTAATAAATAAGAAAATAATAAGAAGAAACTAGCAAGTGCATTCCTAGGTGATTGGATCCTAACAGATAAAAAAATTACACTTTCTAACAACCCTTCAATTAAACATGGAAACGATATCAATCAAATGAAAAAGCAAACAATCAAGTATGTGCATTCCTAGGTGATTTGCTTTCCTTGAGTTCATATGGCCACAACAATTTCTTGTGACCCCTCCAATAAAATACAAAGATCCTATCAATACAATACAGAGAAATAAAACCTTATTATGACAACTAGAATATACCAAGTCAACCTAACATGCGTTGTAGTTTACATGGTCACAAAACTTTTCTCGCAACCCTCAAATAAAACATGGATGTGCTATCAAACAAATGAGAAACCAAACCACCCAGTAAGGATGTACCTGGGTGGTTTGGCTTCAATGAGTTCACATTGGTGACAACACTTTATTGCAACCCTCCAATAACCTGGATGCCTGGGTGGTTTGGATTCACTAAGCTCACATGGTTATAACACTTTCTTGCAACCCTCTGATAAAACAAAAACATGGAATCAAACAAATCAGAAGCCAAATCGCACTGTGAATCCTATTTTGGCTACCCCAAATGATACACAAACAACCTGCTATAACATTTAAAAATAGAGACTACTTCTAGGGCCTACTACTTTACTATGACAATCAGACATATCAAGGTAGCCTAATATGTGGGGTAATGAGCTCACATGGTCATAGCACTTTCTTGTGAAACTCTAATAAAACACAAACATGGTATCAGTCAAATGAAAAAACAAATCACCCAATGAGTGCATTCCTGGGTGATTTGGTTTCGATGAGTTCACATGGTTACAGCACTTCTCGGTACAACTTCCCAATTCCTCGTAAATAGTCTTGTAAAATACCTTCTAAAATGTGAATGAAACTTTTAAAAAATGAAAAGAGCTTAGTGATTTTACTCAACCAGTTTATTTTACTATTATCTAGAAGCTTATTTCCTAGGTATTTTCTTGATGAATCAATGAAACTCCCTCTCAAGGTTTGCTTACAGAAGGTAACTAATCCTTGGTAAATTTCCTTTTACAAAAAAATGAAAGAATTGATGATTTGACAAAATCAAAGAAAATGGGCTCCTTCTCAATTTTTTTTTTTTTTTTTGAAGAGGTAAAGTAAGATTTTATTAAGGAAAACACAATGCAAGATACAGGAGGGGTTCACTGCACAAAAGCTCCTCATTTTTATCCTTGCATAATTGGAGGCGCTTTTAGTAACTTGTCAGTTAGGGTGACAGGTTCATCTTGATCAGTGATGTTAGGCTGGGGCCTGGGGGAAGGATGCTGTATCTTTATCCAACCTTTCATTTACTAATGACACCCTCAAGATGTTAAAAATGTCATCAGCTACTTCTATCATTCTTTGGTTAAAAAGTAAAATAGAAGTTTCCTTGCTGCAATAAATATGCAGAAGGGATTAAGGGCTATGCTTCAGGCCTAGGTTGTGAGGGGATTTAATCCTTTGTTTTCCACTTGGTGGATGCCTTAGAGCACTTGATTCTGGGATCTGATTTTTGAAAGATTATGCAACAAATTGTCTTCATGAAGAAAAACTGCATTCCTCCTCGGTGTTGTGTTATACTCACCAAAGGCCAACATACCTTTACCAATCGGTCATCATTTTTCTTCATATCATTGTTGAGGCCTTGTGAAGGTTGTCAATAAAATAGAAAAGAATCATGCAGGATCACTAGGTAATTGCATAATTGGGAAGTGGTAGAGGAGCAAAGACAAACAGGGGCACACAAGAAAATATACCCTTTGGATGGGGGTCCAAAGCTTATGTGTTGTAAGAATCAAAGCAACGAATGTTGTGATTTTTCTGAAAACTTTATGATATATTTTGCAGTTGAGGTATTTAAATCATTCCACAAATTCTGTCAGGTCTGACCTTCGGTTACATTCTTTTTGTTTACAACTTTACATACAGCATGAAAGTTTGACATTTTAATAGTTTTAGTACTTTTGTGCCAAATCACCTCATAATGGCCTCTTGTCCGAAACCCCAGTTTCTGGAATTTTGAAAGTTTATCTCATGAAAGAGAATTTTTTTGTCCTCTTGTGGAAAATGTTATCGGAGTGCATTCAAATTAGATGACTCCATCTCATCACTAAAAATCTATGCAAGTTTTCACTGAAAAATTCCGTCTCTACATATTTATTCTGATTTTTCTTAAACCTTCTCGAAAATTTGCAAGCTTAGTGATTTTAGCTCAAACCTTTTCAGTGCTTTCCAATTCTTACCTTTAGTCAATGAATCATCCCTAAATATTTAGCTTATCATTACATTTCTAGACTCACTCTTGAGTCATAACTGTCCTACATTGGTTTGATATCAGAACAGTCAGTCCTTGATCAGCTTGGTATTAGTGCACTCTGTCCTATATCACAACATTGTTTTGTAAGTTTTTACATTACTGTAGTATTTTATTTTTAAACAGTGTTTTTGTCTGTTAACTAGGGGTATGCCTTGTTTATTGAGTACAATTCATTTCATTCAGATTGATTATATCTATCTATTCCTATATTTAGCTGTTATTTGCAAGATAGCTGTTATTTTTTAGCACTTCTTTTTTAGTTTATTTCTTTATTTGTTACTTACTTTTGTATGTGCTCTTTATTCTCTGATACACCCTTTAACTTTTACAGTTTTATTTCACTTCATTCTCCAGGACTGGGTTTTTCATTACAGCAATAATTACTGCTGGAGCTGGTTTATTAAGTTCTTCTTCCCCAAATTATATTTCATTGATTATTCTGCGTTGTTTGGTTGGAATTGGTTTGGGAGGTGGTCCTGTGCTTTCATCCTGGTTTTTAGAGTTTATTCCTGCCCCAAAAAGAGGTACTTGGATGGTTGTTTTCTCAGCTTTTTGGACTCTTGGAACAGTTTTTGAGGCTTCACTTGCCTGGGTACTTCCATCACTTCTCCACCATAGATATATGTAGCGATTACTATCCTTTTCCTATACTCAATCCTTGTGATTTGAAATTGGAAGTTGGCAGGAATCTATAATTCATTATTTTGACTAGTTTTTTCATTGTAATTCTCAAGCAAAAATGTTATGAATGAGATTACTAACCAGAGAAAGAATTGATGGGACATTCCTTGATCATTCTATCTAATTAACATGGTCAATAAGACCTATATCCATTGAAATTCATCTTATTGTTATTCAGTATTCTCCATATTACCTAACTGCCTCGGATATTTGTTGCTGAATAGTATTATTTTGGTGTCCAGTAGTTATTTATCAGATTGGCTAAGATTAACATCATTTCCATATGATCCCATGATGGGTATTTTCTCCCACATAGATACACAGATGTTCCATTTTGTATATTTAGTGTAAATTTTCCTAGCAAAATTTCCTTTCTGTCATTGTCTTGAACTTTCCCTTATTCTATTTTCCCCTTATTATATTCAACAGACATTTTCCCCTTATTATATTCAACAGACATTTTCCCCTTATTATATTCAACAAAAAACTTCTTAATAGAGAGAGAGAGAGAGGCCAATAACTGATTTGGCTGCCCCACTCAATATCTTATATGCTTATTAAATAAAAGAGAGAGAATACAATGAACAATATTCCCTTAATAGGGCTGCTGCTGCTAATAACGTGAAAACAAACATAAAAAATAAACATAAACTGTTGGGCCTTGGGCCTAATAACACTTAATAAAAAGAAACAAAAGCTGCTGAACCTCAACACTCTCGTACCATGTGGCTTTGTTTAATAATCCAGCAATAAAACAAATGTAAAAAGGAATGAAAAGATTTCTGTTATGAAGAGGAAAAGAGAAAAAGAAGAGAGGAAAAAGAGAAGAAGGAAAAGGATTCAGTTAGAAGAATATGAACTGTTTTCTCCTTCACTGTCCACCCTTTTTTTTACTTCATAAGGATGAATGTTAAAATTGCAACTATGCCCTTATTTAAGAGACACTAAGAGAGAAATAAGAAAGCTACTAAAAGGGTCTGACAGAATGACCAAAATAGCCCTACCAACTAGATTCTATCAATATCCATTGAAGCAAAATTCATGTAATTATTATTTAGTGTTCTCCATATTACTTATGCACCTCAGATATTTGTTCTTGAAGTACTCTAAATCAACTAGTATTATTTTGTTGTCTAGTAGTAATTTATCAGATTGGCTAAGATTAACATCATTTCTGTATGATCACATGATGGGTGTCTTCATACGTATAGATACACAGGCGTTCCATTTTATACATTTAGTGTAAGTTTTCCTAACAAAATTTCCTTTGTGTCATTGTCTTGAACTTTCCCTTATCCCATTTCCTTTTATTATATTCAACAAAAACTTCTTAATTGTCAAAGAGAGGGGAGAGGGAGAGATCAGATTACAGAAATACGTTCTCATTTTAAGTGAAATGGGTTCAGTGGTAACTGGGAGCATCTTTTCCAACCATCTATTAAGAGAAAAACCAGAGGCTGTTATATGAAAACAGTATCAGGAACTTTCTGTCCCCATTTGCAAGTAGAGTCAATTTTTTTGAGGCAACAACCTTGACATTACTGAATCAGCACAAACACACAATGGTGATATACTTGAAGAAATCATACATTGTTGGCATCTTCACTTTTGAATACATGGTACATTATAAGAATCTCTTTATTCCTTTTGTAAGGATTAGGTTAAGAAAAAGGAGAAATTATAGGCAGTAGTTTTTGGCTAGTAATCATTGCTCCTTCATTCCAGAGGTCTATTCGGGTCATGGCTTATATTTAAAGACGGGAATCATGTATATGACATCCTAAAGTCTACCTTCCATACAGTTTCTGATTGCTTTACAGATGGCTAGGATGAGATAGACTTCAGACCACTTGACACTTAATCCTTCATTTGCATTGCAGGTTATCATGCCAACACTGGGATGGAGGTGGCTACTTGCACTGTCCTCTTTACCGTCATTAGTTCTGCCTCTTTTCTATAGTATAACACCAGAGTCACCGAGGTATCTCTGTCTGAGAGGTAGAACCACTGAAGCTCTTGATGTTTTGGAGAAAATAGCAAGAGTGAACCAAACTGAACTCCCTCCTGGCATGCTTGTTTCTGATCACAAAATTGAACGGGATGAAGAATGTATTCCATTAGAAGATACTCATTTACTCTCACCAAGAAGAAAGGAATCCATATCTTCTAAGAATATGAGCTCCAAAGTGGGAGCCCTTAGTTCTCTGTTTATTCTTCTTTCACCAAAACTAGTCAGGTCAACCCTCCTTCTGTGGATGGTATTCTTTGGGAATGCCTTTTCATATTATGGTCTTGTATTGCTGACCTCTGAGTTGAGCAGTGGGAAAGGAAAATGTACACCAAATGCTTTGCGTTCAGAAAATTACCATAATACAAATCTCTATAGAGATGTTTTTATCACTAGTTTTGCAGGTATCCTTTCTTTGCATGTATGACTTTTCTTTTCATTCTGTTACAAAAATTTGTTCTTGGCATCATAACTATATGCCAATTTTTCCTCCAAGAAAAAGGCCAATTGATACTTGACTCTAATATGCTTCCAGAGTTTCCTGGTCTCCTGTTGTCAGCAGCAACTATCGACAGGGTTGGTCGCAAGTTTACAATGTCAGCTATGTTCTTCTTAGGTTGCATTTTTCTTCTCCCACTGGTAATCCATCAAGCTGAGATCTTGACAACTGGTCTTCTGTTTGGTGCACGCATATGCATTACTGGAACCTTTGCAGTGGTTTATATTTATGCTCCAGAGGTTAGTTGATGGAATATACAATTTTGTTTTGAAAGACTATTTAAGATCACATAGCCGAGCTAGATATGACAAAGACATCCATAGAATCTTGGAGAAGCATTTCTTACCTGTGAAATGGGTCATTCTAATTCCAACTGTTCAGTTGATTGGAATCGGAATCCTATTCCCATTCCTGCTGGAATGGCATTCCTCCATTTGAGGGAATGACCATTCCCTCCCCTTCCTTTGGGAATGAAATTCTATTCCAGATTATTCCAATTCTGATTCCAATTCCTGTTGAACCAAACAGACTATGGGAATAGATTGTTCCAATTCCGGTTCCAAGGAATTTTGATTCTGATTCCAATTCCGGCTGTGAACCAAATGGACCCTTACTCTGCATTTTAAGCATAAAATGGTATCTTTTTAATCTTAATAACGATACCTTCCCTACATTTTGGTAAAAATTTAATTTTATTGATTGTTAGGTAAAAACTTTAAATTTCTAACCCTTTCTCAACCAGAACTTTCTTTTTCTTTGTTTTTCATTTTTTCAGTCACAAAGTTCAGTGTGTGAAAGGGATGGTCTCTTTGATTTTTTGATTGTTATAAGAATACTTTTCAATCGAACTACTATCTTGACTCTCTCTACGGTTTCTTTTGAAGAAAGTTTACAATTTGCATTGATATTTTTCTTGTTAATGTGTCATCTATTTTACTTCTTAAGAGTGTACCGGAAATTTCCAAATCCAACCAGAATTTAGTGTAATCACTTACCCAGAGTAAGAAAAAGGAAATTGGTGCCATCACATACAACACTGGAATTGCATTTCATTTTTACCCGGCCTCCATCAGTTACATAATTGATCCCATAATAATGGACTATGCCCTGATATTAGTTATTACATTTTTCTACAATGTGATATGGTTTTTGAATGTACATCCTCCCTCCCCCTTTTTTGAATGAAAGTTACCTTTTTTTCAAAAAAAAGGGAAGTGGAAATTACATTAAATTTCATAATTTGGTATAGAACCTCCTCTTTCTCTATCCGTTTTTCTTTTCTATTCTCTTTTGTTTTATGGAGTTGGGTGCTTTGTTTTCAAATAGCTAATTTCCACATCCCTTGCTTCTTTCTGTAGATATATCCAACATCAATAAGGGCCACTGGCCTTGGAGTTGCAAGCTCTGTTGGAAGAATTGGGGGGATGATATGTCCTATTGTAGCTGTGGGATTAGTACATAGCTGTCATCAAACTGCATCCATTTTTCTATTTGTGATTGTGATGTTCCTTTCAGGGTTCTGTGTTATGCTCTTCCCTTTTGAAACCAAGGGCCGTGAGTTGAGTGACACTGTATCTGGCTCAAAACAAATTAATGCAGTGGCCTGATGGCTGATACCACTGTGATTGTATCTCATTATTTTTAGAAATAGGTTGATCTTTCTCCAGTTTATTCCTTGGGGTAAGTTCAGCATGTTTCCTGATAGTTTGTCTTTTGAATGAAGTGCTGTTGTTGTAAAGTGGCAAGTGGTTGGTTATCAAAGTAGAACAGGAATGCACCGAGAAGCTACATGTACTTCACCTGTATGTAATATAATGTATTTCCTATAAGGAACCCATAAAATGTTAAATTCTAGGTTTCTCTAGCATACTCCAGATTTATTTGCTACCACTTGTGAATTGTGGTAGTGACCACATATTTGATAAGCCAGTAAGGTAGGTGCTTTGAACTCTCATTTCTGTGCTTCCATCTGATATTTGTTTCTGCTAAATATTTTGTTTGTTTCTGCTAGTGTAAACGTGTTGTTTGTTTCTACCAGTTACTGTTTGAAGGGGGCTGAGGACCACCAACTGATAAGCTGCCTGGTGTGTGAGTGTGACATGGACAAAGGATAATTTTGGGGACTCCAGCATTGCCACAGCTCCAAGAAGAGCCTGCAGAGGTGATATTGCTGCCAGTTACTGTTTGATAAGCTGCCTGGTGTGTGAGTGTGACATGGACAAAGGCTAATTTTGGGACTCTGGCAGCTCCAAGAAATGCCTGCAGAGGTGATAAGATCTCTCTTCAGTTAAGTTGGAAAGCAAATCGACAAAGGAGGCTGATGAGGATGGATTAGACGAAAAGATGTTGCACTAGAAATGAAATGGTATAAAGTATGGCTAGTGTAAACGTGTTGTTTGTTTCTACCAGTTACTGTTTGAAGGGGGCTGAGGGCCACCAACTGGGACTCTGGTATTGCCGCAGCTCCAAGAAGAGCCTGCAGTGGTGATATTGCTGCCAATGCCATTTGAGTGTTTTGAATTGATGCAATTTGAAGAATGGCCAAAGTTGCTTGTTTCTTCGTTTAAATGCCGTCTGCAAGCCAGACTGTGGGAGGATCTGGTATTTGCTGTCAAGAAACGTGAAAGTAATTGGTCTGTACCCACCACCATACTGTTGTGTCATGTTGCTTACAGTTGTTTATTTAGTTGGTGACTCTCATATAGTGTCAGTTGTGAATGCAATGTAGTGTCTAGTTAGTAGTAAGCACTTTCAGACATCTTAAAGTTGCATCATATGAAAGAGTGAACAGTCCAAAAAAGAAAGTGGGTTATTGAAATCCCATAGCAACAAAGTCTAAACTAATAATGCCATAATGGTAGTTGGTAACTTGGGACAACAGGGATGGTCGCCCTTAAAACTTAATGCAATCATACTTGAGTAAGGTTCATTTTGTTTGCGGTGCAAATTTAATTTACTGGTTTAAATGCACGGGAGTGAGTGCAAAATTGCAAATATGTTTGTAAATTCTGATTTGTTTTTACTTCAGATTTGTCTTCTATTTTTTCGAGAAGTAAAATAAAAATAAAAATAAAGTGAAATAATAGCCACTTCATTTGAAACAAAATGAAGGTAAGAGTAGAGTTATTTGTTTTGGGAGTGAGGTAGGAAGCAAAATGATGTGGTCTCTGAAGGGATGAGAGATCCATCATATGGATGGCCGAACCATATAGGTAGGTTGGGTGAAATTTCAAAAATTTCTCTCTTCCATCTGGGAATCACATTTCTTATTTTAGAAAATTTGCATTTTCAATGATCAATCTTGAACCTAAACCGAATCAGATCTGAAACCAAAAGGTAGGAGAGGGATGTATCTGATACGGAGTAGTAGTAACTCCCAACGAATGTGTTCACACCTAAGGAAAACTCTAAAAATTGCTCCCACTGAAGATGACACAACGTAAGATGGAGCAGAATCAGCAGGTTCTTCACAAGAACCAAATCCTTCAGCAAGAATTCGATGGAGGGAGTGTGAGCACGACTTCAGATTAGTCTTTCTCCAAAGACTGATATCAACAACACTTCTTGATCACTCCTATAGTGGAGATCGAACTGGCAATGGTGGCCACAGGAGGAGGCGCAAGAGCAGAAGATGGCGTAGTCTTACTGTAGCTGTCTTCTCTCTTTTTGTGATCTGAAATCTAATATGATGATATGATGTATAGAATGGTTCACCCCCTCCTCCTTTTATAGCATTAAAGATAGCTCTTAATCTCATTAGGAATTTCCTAATCCAAATCTGTTTTTGGATCAGGAGTTCTCTTTAAGAGATAATGATAAGTCATTATCTTATCTGCATATTAGATTAGCCTTCCTAATCTTATTAGGAGTTTCCAGATCCAAATCTGTATTTGGATCTGGACTCTCTGAGTGGATAGGGATAACTCCCTATCCTATCTGCTGATCCAAATCCTAAATCCGCCCCCTTCTTTAACTAATCAAATTAGACCAGTTCGAATTGGGCTTTAAACCCATTAAGTCCATGTGCTCACTAACCTTCCAAACTACTGCCCAGTTGGGTTTCCTTGTATGGCGTGGGACCCAAACATTGATCTACACATCAGCCACATGGGTTCAGCCTAGCCTCTGTTACAAGGCCTGGCCGAATTCACTGTTATGGATAGTGAACCCCTGAGCCCATCACTATGGGCTCTTAATGAGCCCAACACTTACACTAAGTGGTCCCTGGGCCAAGCCACCTTAGAAAAATCCAGGGACTGTGGGCAGATGCAAGATTAGCCCATCAGGTACTATCCTCAATGGTTTTACACTTAACCTCTCAGCCCATAACGATCAAACATTGCCCGATAAGAGATGACTTCTCCCTTAGCTGCAAGGAACAGTGTTTACACTAAGTGGTCCCTAGGCCAAGCCACCTTATAAAAACCCAGGGACTGTGGGCAGATGCAAGATTAGCCCACCAGGTACTACCCTCAATGGTCTTACACTTAACCTCTCAGCCCATAATGATCAAACACTGCCCGACAAGAGATGACATCTCCATCAGCTGCAAGGAACAATGTTGCACTATCTACTCACATGGATCCCGGGAATTAAAACATTTTGCAAACATTGCAAACATATATATATGTATGTATGTATGTATATATAACGATTGAAATTGGCTGCCGGCAGCTTTGGTTTCCATCAAAAAGAGTGCACCCCCGATCATTACCTTTGTCCGACAAAGGGGCTGATCCTGTCACTATGATCACCCACTCAGATGAATTCTCAGACTATCCCAACATACCCAGGTTTTGACCCCCTCTAAGGATCTTACTGATTGGCATATCAAAGACATTCCAATCCGACACCTAATGCAGTATCATAATTGAGTTTAGGGGTTAGGTGTAATATTCCAATTTTGCCCATCAATCTCTAAAGTCCATGGAAATACTGGAATTCTGGTCAGGTGTAACATTCTTGTGTTGCAACCCACGACTACTGCCAAGAACCCATCACCTTCTTTTCTCAGTCTCAGTGTAAATCGCCAACATCACCTTCTTGTGTTGCAACCCACGATTGCCGCCAGGAATCCACACCTGCCGTCGTCCCCTGCCTCAATCAGTCGAATTCAAATCGAATTGGATATTCGATTTGATAATCGAAATCGAATTTGAACTCAAAGATTTGATATCCGTTGGATATCGAATCGAATTCGAATATTAGTGTTCATAATCGGTTTTGAATTTGAATCTAGCCTGATTCGATTCGAATTCAATCCGTTTACAAGCCTATCATACGCATAGTAAAACATGGATGATGGATTATGGATGGAATGGGAACCATTTCATATCGGCCATGGTATGTCGTCCGGCATTGTAATTGTCACGAAACTCATCATCAATCTTAGATTATAAACAAGATCAAACAAACAAACAATTAAGCCAATAAACAGAGAGATAAAATTATCCAGAAATGTACCATATTGAAATTATAGAGAAAATGAAGTAAAATTGAGCACGGGAGTAAGTAAACGATTCTTGAGTCTACAACTGCTCACAATGTGATACGCAGTACTGGCGCCCAATTAAGGATCAAAGTATCAGTATTGGATATCATATCGAATAACTTGGATACGAATACGGATATGGATATGCTTTGGAAACATATGGATATGAACAGAAGACATAGAAACGGTTGGATATGCTAGTGAAATGCATACAAATCACATAAATACATTAATCATACTAAACCAAAAGCTTAATTATCTATAAATAAGATATAAACACATGAGAAATGCATACTTCAATAGGTAATATGAAGAAAAATATTATAATAAACAATACCAGGACTCTAGAACATTCAAACATTGTACAATAAATATCACTCTTTCAATTTTATAATTATAAACTTAACTTTTTATTAATTTTTGGGAATATTTATAACTTAGTAATTTATTTAAATAGCAACTATTTTTAAATAATAAATATGTTTTCATTTTTAACATATAATGTTTTTATTTTACACATAATTGTAAAATAAAACAAATAAATCATTTAGGTAGATAAAATAAATTATATTTAATTTTTAGTTTTTATTAAAATTTTTGGGAAAATTAAATCTTAAATTATTCATTTTGGTTTTACAATTATAATTTTCTGTTTTTCACTAATTTTGTTGGGGAAATTTATTTATTTAGTATTTTTATATAATAACTCTATTTTTTCAAATAATAACTATTTTGTTTTTCTTTAATTTTCAATTTTTATTAATGTTTTTAGAAAAGCTAAATCTTAAATTATTTATTTTAGTTTTCATAATACTATTTTTTAACTTGTATTAAAGATGAAAAACAATTCAAAAGTACTCAATGTACAATTTTGTCAATCTAGACACAGATACACCTTCATATCGGTGTGTATTGGATTGTATCCACCGATACGGTGTGATACGACCCAATACACATGACTCGTAGGATACGTATCCAGTCGTAGCGTATCCTGTATCCATGATCATGGATACGGATATGATACGGCCCGTATTGATACCTTAATCCTTGCGCCCAATACATTAACCGGAATTCAAACTTCAAACTTTGGAGTTCCATTCATTTTGTATGTATTTGGTTCCATAGGCATTTATGGATAGGCTGATCATTTGTATTTTTTTACTTTAAACGCTTCTTTTTGTTGTCTGATTGGGTTTCACTTTAAATGTTTTTTATTCTCCATCTCAAATTAATACCCATTAAAGTGTGTCACATCAACATTTAGTTTCAAGAAACGCTGAGGCATTGGAGGAAACAAGAATTTAACGTTTTCCCAAATGCTCCATGCACAAAAATCAAAGCATTTCAGTTTTCTACTATTTATTTGATGGGTCCCACTATGATATGGAAAACCATATCATATCTAAAAGTTCTATTACTGCCACCTATACAACGGTTACTGAATTTATTTAACCGGTAATTATTTTTTTATATATTAATTAAAATTTAAAACACCCTTTAACCTATCCGTTAACCGAATCCTCGTTACCCATTCTTATCTCCTTCAAGTTCCCTCTTCTAGTCGAACTTCTCTCTTTTGAAATCGTAAATCCACAATTGGGTTATGGATTGGACCTAAATAAAGGATTTGGATTTGGTGAATACATACCCCGAAATTTATGCGAGTCAAAATAATGTTCTCTCCTGTATATAAATGGACGGGCAATTGCTTGATGGTTGTCAAACAAAGCTGAAACAATCTTAGATTGAACTTTAATCACCTTTTCATTGTCAAAAGCCTAATCATTTTATGCATATTGTTTCAAAATAATCTTGTCATCCTTATAGCGCTTAGCCTCTACTAACATGTCAGCAATGCGTTGGGGATCCACCTCTATATTTATTTTCCGCTGTAAGGCATCAATTCGATCCTCAAATGATCGCATTGTGTTTACAACTATAAGTAAGTGTTTCATCAAGATGAAATACTGATGTAACGGTTTCTGGTTACGTATCAATTTTTTGGTTAAGTACCTCGTCAGTTCATCTGCTCCCTAAAGGCCTGTGATTCAGGGGCTGAAGTTGAGCTCCCTAGCGTAGCACAATTCAGCTGCTCCCTGTTGGAGATGATCTGGCTACCGACAACGACGGGAACTGAACCGACTACTCCCTGTTGGCGATGAGCTGTTCATCTTTGTAGGTGGCAGGAGCTGAGGGACCTACGAGAACTAAATCAGAGAACCTGAGGGTGTTTACTTGGCGAGGTCACTCCGATGGCTAAGTCAGCACTTAGTAGTGAGCTGAAAATGATATAAGAGAATGAGAGAGCTAGAGAGCAGGGGTTACCATCACCTCTCGCCCCTGGGGGGTGAGGCCTTTATATACAAGAGTCTTCGTAGGTTTGGTGGAGTAGTTCCCCGCTGTGATGGGACCTGCTTTCATGTTAGGTGGGGATAAAGCCACAAATTGGTAAGGTTGCCCATTTTCGCCTAAGTTGGGGAGTGGATGAGCTAATATAGTCGTTACAAGTCACAATCCCGTAAAACGTAGGGTACGGCGGTGAGCTCCTCGAGGTTGTCAGGTTGGCGTGTGGCCTAGGCAGCCAGCTCGCGCCACAGCCAGGTTGTGCCTGTGCCAGGCCGCGCTTGTGTCAAGCTACGCCTAGCAGGACACCATCAACTTAGCAAAGGCAAGTTGTTGCCAAAGTAGTCCCGGGTGTCACCTAGTTGTTATGAGGGGCCAGGCTACAAGATGGTGAGCTACTTGTGGCGAGCTTTCTATAAGTGGCGAGCTCGAGTTGTCTAGTTGTCAAGAGGCTGCGCTTAGTTGGCATGAGGTGTCACGTGTCACAATGTCACTAGAGGGCCAAATCCACCCTCATCATTTGCCCCCCACTCCCGAGCTGAAAGTAACTCGTCGAAGGGAGTGATTTCTCCTTTTGGCCCGTAATTCGACGAGCTCGTAAGCATTGATTCAGTTTCTTAAGCTCTGGGAGCTGCTTGGAAGCAAGCATCCCGTAAAGTGCTGAGGTCTCTTCCAGTTCAGTATTATAGCCCTTAGGTTCTGGGAGCGACTTGTGGTCCACTCCTGGACTTTGCCCATGCTGAAGAGGCGACTAGGTCTTATGCAATATTGTGGCCCTTAGGCTTTGGGAGCGACTTATAGTCCACTCCTGAACTTTGCCCATGCTGAAGAGGCAACTGGGTCTTGAGTAGTATTGTGGCCCTTAGGCTTTGGGAGCGACTTATAGTCCACTCCTGAACTTTATCCATGCTGAAGAGGCAACTAGGTCTTGAGCAGTATTGTGGCCATTAGGCTTTGGGAGCGACTTATAGTCCACTCCTGAACTTTGCCCATGCCGAAGAGGCAACTAGGTCTTGAGCAGTATTGAAGTCTTTTATCAGTTCGTCAGTTCGCGCCTGGGCCAGGCCGCCAGGTCGGCACCCGTGCCAGGTCGTGCCAAGTCAGTGCAGGCCGCGCCAGGCTGCCAGGCCGTGCGTAGGCCGCACCAGGCCACCAGGTGGGCGCCTTAGAGCTATGAAGCGAGAGCTTCATTTTCTTTGAGTTTATAAAAAACGGAAACTATAAAGCGAGAGCTTCAATTTCTAAAAGGGTGAGGACTTAGCTTTTTGGGAGAAGAGGACTTAGCTTTTTGTAGGATGAGAACTTAGCTTTTTGTAGCGTGTTCCCACAGACGGCGCCAATTGATGTAATGGTTTCTTATCTGTATCAGTTTTTTGGGTACCTCGTCAGCTCGTTTGCTCCCCAGAGGCTTGTGACTCAAGGGCTAAAGTGGAGCTCCCTAGCGTAGCGCAACCCAGTTGCTCCCTACTGGAGATGATCTGGCTACTAGCAACGACGGGAAATGAACTGGCTACTCCCTGTTGGCGATGACCTGCTCATCTTTGTAGGCGGCGGGAGTTGAGGGACCTGCGAGAACTAAATCAGAGAACCCGGGGGTGTTTACCCGGCGAGGTCACTCTGATGGCTAAGTCAGCACTTAGTAGCGAGTTGAAAATGATATAAGAGAATGAGAGAGCTAGAGAGCAGGGGTTACCATCACCTCTCGCCCCTGGGGGGTAAGGCCTTTATATACAGGAGTCCTCGCGGGTTTGGTGGAGCAGTTCCTGGATTCCCGTTGTGACGGGACCTGCTTTCATGTTAGGTGGGGATAAAGCCACCAACTGGTAAGGTTGCCCATTTCTGCCTAAGTCGGGGAGTGGGTGAGCTAATATAGCCATTACAAGTCACAATCCCGTAAAACGCGGGGTACGGTGGTGAGCTCCTCGGGGTTGTCAGGTTGGCGCGTGGCCCAGGTCGCCAAGTCACGCTTGTGCCAGGCCACGCCTGTGCCGGGCTACGCCTAGTGGGACACCATCAACTTAGCAAAGGCAAGTTGTTGCCAAAATGGCCCCGGGTGTCACCTAGTTGTTCTGAGGTACCAGGCTACAAGATGGTGAGCTGCTTGTGGCGAGATGCCTGTGGCGAGCTGTCTGTGGCGAGCTGCCTGGTGGCGAGCTGCCTAGTGGCGAACTGCCTAGTGGCGAACTGCCTATGAGTGGCGAACTTGAACTGTCTAGTTGTCAAGAGGCTACACTTAATTGGCATGAGGTACCAGGTGTCACAATGTCACTGGAGGGCCAAATCCACCCTTATCAAATACCATGCCAAGACATCTAAGATTTAGCATGAAAAGACAAGAATTGTAAAGCCCTGGTGCAACATTAAAACACCAAAAACCTAAATATTATTCATCATTCTTCCTAGATAACATGGCTACCAAATGGAGTTCCTCCTCTCCTAGTGGCATAACTGCAGTCTGTAAACCAAAAATCAACAAACACAAGGCATAGTAAGTGAAAAAATGCTTTGAGAAGTTTAAAATAAACTTATAGAGGGAAATAGTAATTGAGTTGTATTTTCAGAAGAACTAAATGCTAACAAAGAAGCTGAAACACTTGGTTAGTCGGTAAAAAGTAATTGAGTTGTATTTTCTTCACATATTTTTGAATTTGTTACCAGTTAGAGAGATTTTGATATTTTGTTTTTTTACGATTTGTTATGTTGGAGTCGGAGCTCTACCAAGAAAGACCATTATTACCAGTACGATGCTGTATTATACGAATTAGCAGTCATAGTAATGTGAATAGAAACTGATCTTAACACCACCTCAGCAGTTGCCCACGAATATGTGCATTGTGGAACTCTTCTTCAATGGCAGAATCCTACAACAATCCCTCCTTGGTGACTGCAAAGGAAAAAAGAAATCTGGTTAATAACCAAAATGCAGAAAAGTACACCACTCATCTCCTATAGACTGGCTGCAGGGTTAATACTTGAAGAGCTTAATTAATTAATTATTACTTTCCGCCAGCTAAGGTTGTCTGGTCTCTTGAAGACGACAATGGACTCGATTGCAGCTGGGGAAGCCATTTTCCATTGGCAATAAAGGTTGTAAGCGGGACTCGATTGCTTCTTGGCAATAAGGTTGGTATAACTCAGGGCATGGGGTTGGAATTTGGGGAAAAATCTATGGGGGTTGGAATTTGGAGAGAAAGAGAGAATGGGAATGGTGACGTTTAATGGTGCTTCCTTATCTTGAAATGAATTTCTTTTTTAAAATGTAATTTAAATAATTGTTTTTGAAACCGGTTACCTGGGATAACCCATATTCACCGAAACAGAAAGTCGAATGTTGATTGGTCCAATACGGAAAATGTACTTTTTCCATATCATAGATTTTCCCTTATTTGATAAACAACAATTGTTTCATTCTGCTTCATAAATCAATCAATCACACGATTCACGAGGTGGAATGCCACAACATGACAGTGCCACGTGTCAGCATCAGGTAGGTACCCTGGGTTTAATCTCATTTTTTAATGGTCTATAACTTCCAGACCTAATTCCGTTAAATTTAGTGGAGGATAAATTTACAAAAATACCTATATTTTTTATTGTTCATCTTTCTTTTGCTTTGAAGTTTGAAGACTACCCCAACGAACATATCATACCAGCGTGAATTTACTTTTGCCGCATTCCAAAGGGCACATCGGCATTTTCATAATTTTATTAATTTAACAGAATTAGACTTAAAAATATAATCAATTTTGATAAACAACATAAGCTTACCACGTTTATGATTCCAATTGATTGGTCAGAAAATTTTCAGATATTATTTATAAAAGTTCAGGTGTTAAAGTGGCAAAAGTTACACCGGTGAGACTGGTAGCTACCTGCAATTTACCCCTTCTCATAATTCATAGTTACTGGTTATGGTTAGTCGTCTCGTCCGTTTTGGTTCGTTTGTGGGCAATATTCTTTCTCTCTCCGCGCGTGTGGCAGGCGCTATCCATGGCTTGCGGTTGCGGGGGAGAGTGCTCCATCTTCCTCAACACCTCTTCTCCCCTCCTTTCTCATCGGTCTCTTCCAACCAAACGGTTAAAAGGTATTTGCTGTACTTTATTTTCTTTTATTCACGACATGGTTACGCTGATTGATCTCTCTTCTCTCATTAATTCCTCCCATTCATTCGGATATTGGTACTTATATGGGAAGCGAATTGGTAATTCTGCACAGACAGAGCCACTCAATCAGTAGTAATGGGGATTACTAGATGCAGAGTACAAGTACCCTTCTCTTTTCCAGGTATTACAAGAAGGTCTGTACTCTGTATTTGACTTCATGCTATCTCACCAAACAATTACAACATTAATGGTTTCCTTCTTTCTTTCCCCTTCAAATGCAATTATGCAAATATCAGTTCTGCGGTTTCTGAAGTCAGTTGTGTTTTTCAGCAACAAGATTGAAGCAATCCAACTACCAAAGGCAGAGGTGTCAGGATCTAACTCTAACGTGAAGAAAGCTAATTTGTTTGCTAGGCGGAAGGAAAGTGTCAAGCTGCCGAATTATGACGATGGTTGTGGTGGGAATTTGTATCCCATTAGCGCATTTCTTAATCATCCTTCGGGGGTCGAAACCATATTGAACAAGGACGCCTTGCAAAGTCTTCAATCCTTGGATTCTAACACTTACAGGTGGGGAGGTCACCCCCTTCCACTCGTTTCTTCTTTTATTTACTGATAACTGATGACGCTGATGCCTCCTTTAAGCCTGTTATTAAGTTCTTTGGTTGATTGATGATGATGCGAGTTCCTTCTCAATTGCTACGATGCCAATAACCTTCACCACTGATCACTCAATAAAGTCACTCGATTTCTCTTTGAACATCTTTTTCTTGTATGTTCTAAGATTAGCAAATGACAATGCAACTCTCTTGCTAATAATGGGATTCATGCTTTTTTGGAAGGCTTTGCCACTCCGAGCTCTCTCTTTACTCTCAAGCTGAAGTTTTGGCTAAGAGTGACATTAGTTAGCTAAAAATCTATCTGGCAAGAATACTTAAGTTTCCAAAACTTGGCATTGTCGAACATCATATGGTATCAGTCTGTGAAGACATGCTCACTTTGCCACATAGCCAAAAAGTCCTTTTAGTATTACCTCAAGTTCCCATGTCAAAATACTCAGTGTAGAGTTGTGATGCTAGCATACATGTTGATAACCTCTTTACACTGATAAAAACCAATAAGCAATGCCACAGGCCCACAGCAAATTTGGGTCTTGCTCAAACAATGAGCAGGGGTAAGGAAAATTGGTTGACAGGTCAAGGTGGCAATGTCAAATTCCACATCAATATGCTTGACTAGTGTCATGTGCAGGTGCACTTTGCAGAAAATTCAACTTCTCAACTTTGAAGTGGCTCCTGTTTTGGATTTACGAGTGACAACAACAAACGAAGATTGCATAGTTGAGATGTTATCTTGCAAGGTGAGCTTTTCTTTCTATTCTTGACTTGACAAATTCTTTATTTCTTTTGATTTTATCTTGGCAAAAAAAATTCTTCATAGAACTCGTCATATTGAAAGAGATAAAGTACTTTGTGGTTTTCATCTATTTTAATTCGAAACTTCTTGTCAGGTGAGACTTTCAGCATGCCCCTAGAGGGAATCTAGAAGTATTTTGTCTTGGACACCACTGACTGAGGGATTCATAAAATCGAACTTTGATGGCAGCAATAGAGGGAATCTAGGACCCTCTGGTATAGGAGACTTATTTAGAAATGAGTGAAGTCATGTGGTGGCACTCTGTTTGGGTCCATTGGTCATGGGGATTCTTTGAGGGCAGAATTAATGGCAGTTGTGGAAGGGGTAGTCAAAGCAAAGGAATTAGGTTTGTGCAAGCTGGTTATAGAAGGTGACTGTCAATTGGTGATCAGGCTTTTACAAAATAAAGGGAATGACCTATGGAAGTATCAAAATGAACTAAAGAAGATTAAATGGCTATATAGGGGTATGGATGTGAGATGGCAATGGATTTAAAGTTCGGAAAATAGTATGTATGATAACTTGGCAAAACAAGAGGTGGGGAGAAATCAACTGTTTTGGGCTCAATTGTAATGTTTTTTAGTCTTTGGAGAAAAGCAATTTTACTCTGATGTTTTGCTTTAATTAATGAAAATTCCTTGATCCAAAAGAAAAATGTAGGAAAAAAAGGGAGAAAAATTTCTAGCAACAATCAGAGTTCACTAAAAGAGAAAAGGAACAAATACAAAGGTTATAAATTGTTAGGTTGAAGGTCTTTTATGTATTGATGGTTCGGCTGATAAGAGTTCTTATTAGTCTGTATTTGAGTTTAAGCTATTATGTACTGGGCCTGTGTTAATGGGCCTAAGCTTGTTTAGTGTTTTAAGTTGTCTGGGTGTCCCATCACTAATCAGGGGCATTCCAGTCTTTTTCTGTAACATTGTACTATACTCTAATATAAATAATAGTACTGTCGACTGGGCTATACAGTTCAACATTCTCAGCATCTCTTGGTCTCCTTCTCTCTTCTGCTACTTCAGCTACAGCATTTCAGCTTTCATGGTATCAGAGCATTGAGCACCTTCCTGGTTACAGCCGACACCATCTCCTCTCTCCTGCTGTCTTTCTTCTTTTTTTTCATCTTGGTTGCTGCTGTGAAACCCTAGGGTTGCAAGAGAACAACACAAGGTTCTAACCTAGGGTTTCCCTTGGTTGTAGGGCGCAAGGGAAGTAAGACCCAGAAGTTGATGTCCTACTAGACTGTTTCTAGTAGTTAGCAGTTATTCGACTGCTAAGAGAGGTCTGTATAGGACAGACCTAGTTGAGGACTGATTTCAGCAGTCCTAGTGTTGGCCGTAAGGAGGGGGACTCTCTTTACAGTTGCAGTACTCAAAGTTCAAGTGGAGTCTGCATAGCACAATAGTGGAGAGCCCTTAGTTACAGGTCGGTTAGCAGCCCAGAACACCTCACTTGCGACTGTAACTGAACTACCTCAGAACTGTGACAGTCTCGGCAAGTCTGAAACTGTGTTGAGAGCTGTCAGAACCTGCTGTGATCACTTCGGCTAATCAGAACCTGCTTTAGAACTACTTCAGAACCAGCTATGATCACTTCGACTAATCAGAACCTGCTTTAGAAGTGCTTCGGCTAGTCTAAATCAGTGTCATCTACACAGAGGCTGCAGTCAAGATGTCTTCAGTATCTGGAGAGGTTTCTTCTAGGGATAATAGACCTGCGACAAGGTCTTCAAATCTGGAAAACCCTAATCTGCACAGCTTGCAGATTACAAGTGTGTTGCTGGATGAATACAACTTCAGGGAGTGATCAGTTTCAGCAATGCTGTTTATTACTTCCCGTGATCTCACAGGCTACCTAGATGGGAGCAAGAAGGAACCTGAGGTTGGCAGTATAGAGTATGCTGTGTGGCGCAAGGAGTATGCTGTCAAGGTTCAAGGGGAGGCAGTACTCATAACACAAAGAAATGGTCCCAACCATGTTTCGGATAGCGTTGGGATGAAGCTGATCGATGGTAACATTAAAGTGGTTTAGCACCTCCACTATTAGGGGGTGCAGGGGAAGACGCAGGCCAGCCTCGAGCTGTTCCTGGAAAATAACTATATCATCGGGACCATTCTCCCAAGGGAAGTTACCAGTGGGGAGACTGTAGACGAGGTCTCCAGGAAGGTGAAAATAGCGGATTAGAGACCTGAGTCTCTCCGCCGTCATAGAGGAAGGACCGAAGTGTTAGACAGTTGTATGCCCTTAGYTTCAATCAGAAATATGTATATTATGAATTTATTGTAAATGAATAAAGTACACTTTTGATTCATGTTCCTGTGGTGTGTTTCTGTGTAATACCCTTAAACTAGACACTTAATGAGATTTGTGTTAGTTTAGAATGTTCACAGCCATTGGGTAAGTCTGGGGAGATTTATCCTGCCAAGGCTGACACTGGTGTGCTGCCAACTGTTGGGGTGGCTTGTCTCAGCTACCAGGTGAGACCCGAAGCACATGCAGTGTAAGATTAATAGAACCTTTGAACCGGACCAGATTTCCAGTATTGCCCTGGACCTTGAAGATAGATGGGCAAAACTAGAAAGTTACACCTAACCCCTAGACTCGATTATGATACTACACTAGGTGTC